CCACCAGCTCCTAGGAGGATTGACATCTCAGAGCTTCCTAGGATACCAAAGATGAAGAGAGAAGGCGGCAGTGGCAGTGACGGCCATGTGGATTCCAAGCCCGCCTGTGGCAAGGGCACAGACATCCCCAGCTCCTGCATCAACCGGCTGACCGGCCGAGAAGGCAGCAGCCAGCCAGCCCGAGGGGGCCGTGTTGAGAGCAAGCCCAGTGGCCGGGACTCCCAAGAGCCCAAGATGCACTCAGGAGGCAGTGGTGGTGGCGGCTCCTGCACCAGCACTGGTGGCCCAGGCTCCCACAGCAGCCTTGCTCCATTTGGGCCATCCCGAGGCAAGGGTTTGGGCTCCTCCTTTGAAAGCTTTAGAATTAACATCCCAGGGAACACGGCAAACCCCAGCAGGCTCCCAAACCCTGGCTTCTGTAACACGTTCCGGCCAGTCGACAATAAGGTCCAGCGTAAGGAGAACCCTTCGCCCCTCTTCTCAATCAAGAAAACCAAGCAGATCAAAAGCGAGATCTATGACCCCTTTGACCCCACAGGGTCAGATTCAAGCTCCCCCAGCAGCAGCCCTGAAAGGCTTGGTGCAGGGCTGTTGCCCTCTGAGATCACCCGCACCATCTCTGTGGATAGTCCAAAGGTCCCAACCTTCCAGACTGTCCGCTGTGTGACCTCGTACACAGTAGAGAATGTCTTTGGGTCAGGCTCTGATCCATCTGATGGGCCATCCTCTAGCCATCCTGAGCGGATTTCCACAGGCACATCTGACCTGGAGAAGATGGAGGAGGAGGAGGAGGACGAGGAGGAGCCCGGGAACAGCCCTTGTGTGTCTACCACTGTCCGGCGGCACCTGTCAGAGCGGGCGCCTTTGGAGGCAGATGGGCGTGAGCATCGCAGCACCTTCTTTGCCACTGAGGAGCGGACCGTGACATGTGTGACCCTCAAGCCGGCCTCGCCCTCTGAGGAGGAGGTGGGGGAGGAGGAGGAGGTGGCCCAGCCAGCAGCCACCACCCACAGAATTGTTGAGATTCATTCTCCTTCTCGGTCACGCTCCAACTCGAGCTCACGCAGCCGCAAGAAGGCCAGGCGGAAAAAAATGTCCACCAAGGAGCACAAGAAAACTCGGTCCCGCTCTCGTTCACTGTCTCACTCCCGGGAGAGAAGCTCGCGGTCCACCTCCCGGTCAGTCGAAGAGGACCACGCCAAAAAGCACCGGTTCAAGGCCAAGCCGCGGAGGTCGTCCAGCGACCGCTCCGGCAGCCATGACAGAGCCAAGAAGAAGAGAGCCAAAGAGAAGAGGAAGGGTCCGTGGTCCCGGGACCGCCAAAAGTCCCGCTCGCGCTCAGGGAGCCCCGGCAGTTCTTCTTATGAGGTCTGCGAGAGCCGCAAGAAAAGGAGGAGAAGGTCGAGCTCGCGCGGCCGAGGCCGAGAGGGCTCACACTCCAGCAGCCCTGAGAGAGCCCGGAGGCATAAGCATCGGAGGCAGAAGAGCTTCGAGCGCTATGAGAAAAAGGAGAGGAGCTCCCGGCCCCGAGACAGGAGGAGCTCCCGCTCCCGATCGAGGGAGAGGAGAAAATGGAGGTCCCGCTCTCCCTCGGCCTCCAGGTCCAGAGAGCACAAGAGGGCCAGGTCCAGGGAGAAGCGGCCCCACTCTCGTTCTCGGTCCAGGGATGGGAAACCGCCTGGGAAGGATGTGTCTCCGTCACCCCTACAGGAGAAGGAGGCCAAGGCAGCTGAGGAGAGCACTCCCTCCAAGCTCCCAGCCCCAGGCCAGGCCGGTCCCAGCCAGGTCGATGGGCCACAGGCGCTCCCGGCCATAGAAGAGACGATGCCTGAAGCCCCAGCTCAACCGGAGGTGCCTGAAGAGGTCGCTGCTGATGACCTTGACTACGGGGAGACTGTGGAGGCAGAACATGTCTTTGATGACTTCTCCAGCGATGCGGTCTTCATTCAGCTAGATGATATGAGCTCTCCCCCTTCCCCAGAAAGCACAGACTCATCCCCAGAGAGGGGTCTTCTGCTTCCCCTGGCTCTGCCCGCAGGCAGCGGCCAGTGCAGTCTGAGCCTCGGGGTGGTAGCTGCAGCCAAATGTGAGGCCCCCCCAGAGCCACCAGCTGCCTCAGAGGGCCCCCCGGGCGAGGCACCTTCCTCCCAGGGTGCCCCAGAGAACCAGGTTGGGGAGGTGACGACAGTGGAAGGAGAAGAGGGTCCTGTGGTCAGTGAAGAGGTCAGTGAGGCTGTGGAGTCAGAGATGGAAGTCATTTCCCAAATCCCCTTGCTGAAATCAAAAGCTTTGGTGAAGAGGGTGACGTGGAACCTCCAGGAGGAAGAAGACAGCATGGCAGGCCCAGAGCCCGAGCCAAGTAAGGAGCCTTGTGGGTTAAGGACCAGGCTGGACACCGAGGTGGGCATTTGTGGCCATGTGTGGCCCCACTGTGCCCCTCCTTGTCCTCCTCAGTGACCCCGGCCCTGATTTTTAAGTCGCCTCCCATCCTCCCCACCCCTCACCTTCACACTCGATGACCCTGTCACCACAGCCAACCTCCCTCACTCTCACAGGAGAGCCGAGTGTCCTGTGGCAGCCACAACAGGCTCTCACCCCCCTGGATCGATGGGAGACTCTGGGGTTAGTGTGGCATATGGGGGGCGGGGGGGCAGTGCCAGCACGATTCCCAGGCTGTCATGTCCTCCCTGGGGGCTAGGAGCTCTGAGGCAGGGCTTTGCCCGGGTCTCCCAAACTCCAGGCCCCTGGCTTCTCTCTCCAGGGGCACCGTTCTACAAGCTGCCAAGATCCCTGGAAGGGGCCTGGAAAGCCGAGGATTCGAACCCCAGCCTAAATCAGGTGCAGTCCCGTGAGCCTCCTCCCACCAATTACATGGTCGCTGAGCCCATGTTTCCTGACCTAGGTTGCTCTCAGGTTGGTGTCCACTCTGGGGAAGGGCTGCAGGCCGCATCCCACTCCATCTGGGCTCTGGAGACAGCCGCCCATCTCATGCACTGCCCATTCCACCCCGGGAGCGGCACTCATCTCATTGTCGGCATGCTGGGTCTGGCGAGGAGCTGGGGGGGCGCTGGGCCAAACCGGCGGGGCAGTGGGGCACACTGAGAACGCATGTTCTGACTGGCGGGGGGGGGGTGTCTGTGCAGGTTTACAGCCCCAACATGCCTCTGACCCAGACTCTGCCCCCGAGCGTGCCGCCCTACGCCCCAGTCAGCCAGCCCACCGTCCAGTTTATCATGCAGGGCAGCCTGCCTCTCGTGGGCTGCGGGACAGGACAGAGCCTGACCCCAGAGCCAGCTGTGCTGGCCACAGTCTCTGAGCCAGGCGGCCCGGCGCCGGCCGCAGGAGACGGAGACGAGAAGACGACACCCAAGCAGGCGGGTGAGAAGACAAAAAATGAAGAGGTGAGTCAGGGGGCTGGGCAGGGCTGGGCAATGCCAGGGAGGGGCCCCCTCGCCTGCCACGCCCATGGTCTGCGTGGTCCTCCTGCAGTACATGAAGAAGCTGCACGTGCAGGAGCGGGCTGTGGAGGAGGTGAAGCTGGCCATCAAACCCTTCTACCAGAAGCGTGAGATCACCAAGGACGAGTACAAGGACATCCTTCGCAAAGCGGTGCAGAAGGTGATGGAGGGGGAGGAGGGAGCCTGAGGGGTGGGCCAGACGGGCGGGCTGGGCCAAGCTGACCACTAGCCCTGGGGCGGTTTCCCCCAGATCTGTCACAGCAAAAGCGGGGAGATCAACCCCATGAAGGTGGCGAACCTGGTCAAGGCATATGTGGAGAAATACAAACACATGAGGAAACACAAGAAGACGACAGAAGCCGAGGAGGAGCCCCACGAAGCTGAGAACTGAGCCCACCCCGGCCACCGCGGACTGGACAGGACAGGACCGGATGGGTGGGCGCTGTCAGTGACTGACATAAAACTCTGGGCTCATGAAACCACCGCCGCGGTCTTCAGGGTTTCCTTGGTTGCAGTGTCAAAGGGGATGGCCTTTTTACATACATATATATATATACATATATATACATATACATATATATACATATACATATATATACATATATATGTGTGTATATATATATGTATATATATATATACACACACACAGTAACTATATATTCTGTAGACACTCTGTTTTCATTGTGTTCTAATTTATCGAAACATGGATTGTCTTTAGAAACTTCTGAATCGATTTAATACTTGAAATGTGCAGCCTTGAGCCGGTCCATGTGGAGTGGATGCCGGACGTCAGGAAGGGCTGGGTCACCCCACCGTCCCACTCCCATGTAGGAGTTGTCTTCTTGTTCCAATTACATTTCCTGTTGCTGAATCAGGGGCCGCCTTTCCCAAGGAAAAAGCAGGGGTGTAGGGGGAACGTCCGTTCTCTCCCTGGCTCCTCCAAGAGCGCCACGCAGGCCACCTGTGCGGCTAATGTCTATTGAGAACATTTTGTATTTTTTGAGTAGAGTTTGGTGGCTTTAAAGCGTTTGCATTGTTCTGTCTTCCTTCTTGTCAAGGAGGGGGGAGGTGGGACCCTGTGCAGCAGGCTCAGGCAGGGATGCTGGGACCTCCAACCACACCCCCTCGCCTGGGCTCTAGACCCAGCCAGAGGGCTTTGGGCCCCCTGGTCACAGCAGTGGCTGCCAGGCCTAAGCCCCTGTTCCAGACCATTAGCAGCAGAGCCCCTCTGTCCACAGCCAAGGGTGGTAGGAAATCACAGGGGCCAGAGACTTCTTTGAGCAAATAGTATCCATCCTGACTGGGACAGAGATGACGTGCAGGTGGCTTGAGGAGTGAGAGATTGGACGTGGAGGTGGGTGCAAGGGCTCCGAAGACCAGGCAGAGGGGCTCAGGACTTTGGGGGCAGAGGAGGAAGGTACAGTGCGTTCCCTGGCACAGCAGCCACCCTGTTGTCAAAGGGCCTGCGAAAGTGCAGAGGGGACAGAAAGGGAGGTGCCGTGGGGGGCACCCGGGAAAGGGAGAACACGCAGCACAACTGGAAAGGTGGAACCAAATTGGGTTTTTTTTATTTTATCCAAGAGGCAATGGGAAGCCACTGATGACTTTGCTAAAAGGTGAGGTGCCTAGAGGTGTTCTTGAGTGGGAAGGAGAGGGGAGCTGGACTGGCCGTCCCGAGGACTGACCCACAGCTCCAGGGTCTGGGGAGTGCCTGGACATTCTGTCTCCATGTGGCTTTTTTCCCCAAGGGGAAAGGGTGGTTTTGTCCAGAGGGCTACAGGTCTAGGCAGGGTATTCCGTCTCCATGAGGAAGTTTTCCAGCACTTCATAGAGGCTGAGGCTGTGGGAGACCTGCAGGCTGAGGCCACCACTGTCCAGGGAGGAGACGCCTTCCTGCCGTTGGACAGCCTCGTGGCAGAGCTGGCAGATTCGGGGCACTACCTGGGGATGGAAGGGAAGGAGACGTGAAGAGGAGCCAGGTGTCCCCACCACCCGTGCTTGGGGAAGGCTGTTCCTTGCTTGCCAGCTTTTCCCCAGTGTATGGCCTGGGGGAGGGTCTGAGTCGCCCACCTCGGTGAGCTGGGCCTGTGCGCTCCTTACCTTCACCAAGATGAGGTTCCTCTCCTTGGGCCTTCTGGAGAGAGTCTGGCCAAAGCCCAAGTAGATAGTATAGTCAGGAGAGGTGCGTCTCCTCTGATCCCTGTACTCGGCCAGTTCTAGAAGAAACAGGCTTTGAGCCAGGACAACCCTGCCTGCGGGGCCAGGGAGGGAGGACCCACAGGTGCTGGGCACCTGGGCCAGGGGTGGACAGAAGGGAGACAGGGGCCCAGAGAGCCCAGGCCTGAGCACTGACCCTGGCGGAAGACAGAGAAGTCAAAGATGGGCCTGGCCTCGTTCCTAGGAAGCAGGCGGGGTGGCGGTGGAGTCCCCGATGATGCCAGGAGGCTGCTCAGCTCCCAGTACACTTTGCATTTGCCCATTCTCTTGGCCCAGAGGCTCTGGTCCCAAAACTGCAGCTGCAGCCCGGGCCCTATGTGCTGCATCAGCTGTTCAGTATAGCGCACTTGCTTCTGGTCTGCCAGCTCCAGGGCTGCTGGGCTGGGGAAAACCACAAGCTGGTGGTCCTGAGAGACCCCCGACACCAGGCCAGGGCTGCTGGCCACAAAGAGGCAGGAGGTGTGAACCACGGCCACCTGCCTCACTATCTGACCCTTGTAGAGGATTGTCACATCTAAGCCAGTAGGGAGGGAACCTGGGGAGGGATGAAGGAGCCCCAAGTGAGATCTGTGGCCCAAGCACCACCCCCCAAGCCCAAACTCAAACCCCTTACTCACTGCTCAGAGGGAGCTGGGGGGCTGGACAGAAGGCTCCATCCTGAGGGTGGCCAGCTTCATGGAGACAGGGAGCGGGCTCTTCCCCTGGGAGGCAAGAATGGTCCTGGCTGAGGCCCCATAGGTGGGGGAGCAGGGACAGGGCTACCTGACTGTCCCTCTCCATGTCCCCATGTGCCCCCCACATGCCAGGCTTCCTGGATCTTGCTAGGGCCTCTGAGAGGCGGCAGGGGCCCTGGCTGGGCTTCCCAGGGTTCCCTGGGGAGGGTCTCTGTCCTCCGAGAATATGGGCCCTCAGGCTCTCTCCAGAGGGTGATGTCTGGGTGGGGGAGGAGTGGGGAGGTGTCAGGTCACCTGCCTGCCCTGCCTGAGATGTGGCCACCCTTCTCCTTCAGGCCCCTGACACTGAGCACAGCCTGCCCCGCTGTCCCTTCACTCATTGGCTTCTTTGGCAGAACCGTCCTCTTGGGCCCTCCCGCTGCTTTGTCCTGAGTGGGCCTGTCTGGGGCTCTATCTGGGTGTCTCTCTTGTTTCTCTTCGGTTCCTATGGGTTCAGTCATCCTGATGACTCCCAGCCTCTACCTCTGGTGTGATCTGGTTACCAACTTCCTTCTGAGGAGCCAGAAGGCCCAAGTTCAAATCCTGCCTCTGACCCTTGCCAGCTGGGGGACTGTGAACCAGCCCCTCCTTCCTCCTCAGACGGGCCTGTCACGTCAGAGTCATTCATCCCACAAATCCGGCTCCCATTGGACCCCTTATCCCTATCCCAGCTCGAGCCCTCACCCCCTCTCCCGGAACATGTCAGTGGCCTCTGCCTCCCCTTTCTCACAGGCATGGCCACGTCACTCTCATGCTCAATACATCCCAGGGCTCCTTGGTATCTCCAGGCCCAGCCACAATTCCCGCTTGCCATCCCAGGCCCCGAAACATGCATTGGTCTTTGGGGTCCAGCTTATGCACCACCTTCCTATGAAGCCACCCCTGCTGACTTCTTCCGCATTACCAGGGCTGCCCCACACCATGACCTCTCTGAGGACAAGGGCAGGTCTGCCCCTTCCTCCCCTGCCCCGTACCCCTCCCCTCATGGGCAAGACCTCACCCTGGAAATATTCAGTGGCCTCTGCCAGGCCCTCCAGCTCACTCTGTTCCAGGGCCAATTGGAGAAGGTCAGGACCAGAAACATCTGGGGTTCAAGAGGCCACAACTCAGAGACCAGGGCCAGGACTCAGCAGCCTGAGCCCCGCCCCCACCCCCACCCTGTCCCTAGCCCCTCACCAGCAGCCTGTCCATCCAGGGAGAGCACCTGGAGCCCGGCCTGCAGCTGGAAGGAGACATTGTCAGCTGCGAGGTGGCGTGATGCCAGGTGAGGGGGTGGGGGACAAGGACAGGGGGCAGGGGAGAGGTCAGGGACCAGGACGCCGCCCACAAAGAGTTGGGCACCCTTCCTCTGGCCTCCTGGATCCTCCCCCATGCTGTCAGCATCTCTTCTCCCGCAAACCTCTGTCATTGGGCTGTCCCCCCTAGCTCCTAAGGAACTGAGGCATGTGGGCTGCTCCTCCCCAGCAGTCCTGTCCACTCCTGGAGAGGGTAAGAAGATTGAGTGAGTGCCAGACAGCCCCCTCCTGGAACAGCCTTCAGGGCTCTGCTAGGGGCCCCTGCCTACCTGATGCCCTGGGCCAGGGCTGGCTGAGTGTGAACACCTTGTGGGGATCATGCTCATCCCAGGACCTGTCCTCCACCAGCGTGAACAGCTGGGTGCTCTTCAGGGCACATCGGAAGTTGGTCTTCCAGTGGGTTCGCTCTGAGGCCTCTGGGGGCTGGGGGCTAGCGCCCTCGGGGTCGGGCTGCCACCGACCTCGCGCAATGGCCCAGGCCTGCCAGGGAGAAGGGCAGCAACCATGAGCACAGCGCCATCCTGGGCACAGGTCCCACCCCAGCGCCGGGAGCCCCACCTTGAAGATGCTCGCATCATCCTCACTGATGTTCTTCCGGGACAGGTGTTTCCAGGGTACCCGGAAGCAGGTGCGGGTGTTGTCCAGCCAGCGCAGGCCCTCATAGTGCCCACTGCTGACCTCCCCTAGAAGCCATTCACCAAAGAGTACTCGCTGAGGTCCCCTGCAGGAATGGGTGTTGGAGTTACTGGGTCAGCGGGGCTGTGGAGGCCCCATGGAGGGAGAGCTGAGGGTCTAAGCAATGGAGCCTCTTACCTCTTGGCCTCCAAAGCCATCGTCCGTTCAGAACACGGGCCAGATGCAGTGGTGAGGAGTGGCACGCAGGATTGATGCTTCGCAGTTCAAACCGTTCTTCTGGATTAGGACTCTGCACTGGGACCCTACAAAGCCACATAAAGGGGTAGAGGGTTGAGGGGCAGGGAGGTGAGAACAGTGGGGACCAGTCTTGCCGATGGGACTGAGGAGGCCCAGAGAGAGAGGAAGGGGGCAGCGCCATGGCTTATCACTACTTTTCAGTGAGTCAGACTTGGTGTTCTCTCTTCTGTCCTCTGCCCTGGGCAGACCTCGGCAGGGGGACCGTGCTGAGCTCTGGGCATGACAGTTTAAGAAGGTCATTGTTAAGGTGGAGAGAGTCCAGAGGAGGCTAAGGAGGACAGAGAAGGGCCTGGGGTCTGTATTACCTAAGGAGGGATCAGTTGAAAGAAGGGCCCATTCAGATTGGAAAAGAAAAGGCTCCGGGTGCATGAGAGGCGTCTTAGAGAAGGAGGGGCAGAGCCAGGGTCCAGGGCAGGAAGAGCTTCCGCAGAGCTGCCTGCATCAGGGGCTGTTTAACTGCATATGCAAACCCAGGCATCTATGTCCTCCTGTGTGTGTGCACACTTCACGTGGGGTACAGGGTCAGGGCATTCAGTAAACATGTCCGTCTCACCTCGGAGTGTGTGCGCATCATAGCTTTCGCATGGACATCTCTACAAAGGAGAAACTGAGGCAGTCCAGAAAGCAGAAGACATTTGCCCAAGGTCACACAGCCAACCAGGGAGCAGTAGGGACCCTACTCCTTTCCCTCCCGTCTTCCTTAGCCCCCTCTCCACAGCTGACGTCTGTGCAATTAGGGTTAGCAGTGAGGATCCCAAACAGAAAGCGAAAGCGCCATCCCGGGCTTCCACAGAGGCTGGAGCAGTTGGGAGGGCACTGGCCAGTCCCCTCTGGGCCCATCCCACAGGCCCAGAAATGCTCACCTGTCCCCTGGTGGGTCTCTTGCTCCTTCCTCCCTGACCCTCCTCACCCCCTCCCCATCTTTTGTCTCTCAGTGCCTCTCAGCCCGCACACCTTTCAGTCTTTCTGGCCCTGGGTCAGTCTCAGTTTCTGTCCCGCCTTCCTTCCTTCCCTCTCAGTCTCCCTTCTCTCTCGGTCCTTGTCTGTCTATCTCTCCTTTTGGCCCCCAGTCTCAGTACCTGGAGTGGCTGTGGGGAGGAAATCTCAGTCTCCTAGGAAGTCCAGCCTCTCTGCAGCCTTTATAGGGTTCCCCTGGGGGGTGGGGCTTAGCCCTCCTCCTCAGTTTAGACCTGCCTAGAGAAGGAAGTACCCCAGGGTATGAAAGCCTTCTTTGTTCTGGGCCCTGGCCTTCTAGAAGTCACGTGGTCCAAAGATGGAAATGGGAGGGAGAAGTCCAAAGGAGGGGGGCAGACAGAACTCTGTCTCTCTGTCTCTCTCTGTCTCTCTGTCTGTTTCTTTCTCTGTGTCTCTCTCTCTGGCTCTCTGGCTCACCCTCTCTCTCTCTCTCTCCCTCCCTCCTGGAGAACTGGGAGTGAATCATAACCGGCCACTAACTCACAGAGTGACCTTAGCCAAGTCCGCATCTGTGAGATCAGTGAGCTTGGGCTCAATGGTCTCTTCCATCCCTTTCCACCTCGCTCCCATCTACGGGGGTCCCAGGGTTGCTGTCCAGCTGCTGGAGTGATTGGAAAGCTTGCCTGGCACCTGGCCCCTTTGCCACATTCTCCAGCTCCTGGTTCTGCCTTCAGACTCCCCTCCTCCCCAGACCACCCCAAGGTGACTCTCCCGCATCCCCTGAGCCCCTCCTTCAGTGGGCAGCTTGCCATTGCCCTGGCTTTTCTGTGTTATCTCTAAGTGTGGAGCTAGAAGGTTACCTCAGCCTCCTCATTTTACAGAGTCAGAAACTGGGGTCTCTCCCAAGGCCACAGAAGCAGAACTGCCCGAAGCCAGGGTGGGGTGTGAGCGAGGTCCGGCCCCAGATTCAGGCCTCTTTCCTCTGCCTTGAAGCCTCCCTGCTGCCCCTTTCACTCAAGCTTGCACTTAGTTGATCGATCAACTAAGAAGCATTTATTAAGCACTTACTATGTTCCAGGCACTGGGAATATAGAGGAAAGAACTGAAGTCCTCTTTGCCCTCAGGGAGCTTGGAGTTTAACAGGGAGATGAGAACAACACACAGAAATACTGGGGAAATATGTTGGGGAGGGGAGAGAAAGAATAAAAATCTATATTCCAAATAAACACAAGGTGGTTTCTGGAGGCAGACCCAAAGAGCTGGGGGCCTCAGGTAGAAGGTGCCTTTGGGGACTTCCGGGACGTAGACTGAGGAGACAGGGCATTGCAGGCAGGCGGAGTCCTGGAGAGACAGGCCACCATGCATGAGGCTGGGAAGACAGGAGTGCTCAACAGGACAGAGGGGGGATGTATGGGCAGTACCAGGGAAGGAGGGCTGGGGTGGTAAGGGAAGAATGTTTGAGAGTCCTCATGTTTGAAAGGCCCACATGTCCAGGGCTGAGATGACTGGAGGTCAGGAGCCAGGTCTTTGCCCGGGCTGTGCCTCTCACCTGGTGTGCTCTCCCTGCTCCGCCTCCTGGTTGCCCTGGCTGCTTTCTGGTCCCGGGACTTTCCCCTAGTGCTCCTGTCCCTAGCTAGTTCAGTTGTTTCCATGTTGTCTCCCCTGAGGGCAGGGACTAGCCCAGGCCTCTTCCATGCTCACTGGAGCCAAGTGATCCCATGTGACTGGCCAGTGCTAGGGGCTGGACAGCCTTCCAACAGGAGAGAGGAGCACTATGGGATGATGGTTCCCGGCCATGGATGGATTGAGTGATGGGATTTTTGGAAGACGGGGAGACACGGGTGTGTTTCTAAGCTGTGAGGAATGAGCTAATAGAGCTGGGCAGAGAGAGTGGATGGGGATGACTGGCGGAAGGACAGGGACAGAATGGGAACTTGGGGGAAGAGATCCCAGAGTGGTTTGCCATTTCCTTCTCCCGACCATTTTACACGTGGAGAACCTGGGGCAAACAGGGTGAAGTGATTGGCCCAAGGTCCCACAGTGGTCTGATGCCATCCTGACTGCAGGCCAGTCCTGCCCAGCTGCCCCAAGCTTTGCAGAGCACTTTGCAAATATGACCCTATTTAATCCTCACAAACACCCAGAAGAGGGGAGTAATTGTTATCCCCATTTTACAGCTGAGGAAACTGAGGCAGACAGAGGCTCAGCCCAGTGGCTTGTGTAAGCTAGTACATATCAGGCTGGATTTGAACTCTGGTCTTCCTGACTCCAGGCCCCAAGTGATGACATAGTACAGATTTCTAGGAGGTCAGTCGGTTAATGGGCATTTATTAGCAAGAACTTACTAGTGGCCTCAACCCCTCTGCTGATTCTCAGGTGTGCGGTTATGTCTTCCTCACCTTGGGAGAGTGAGCCCTGGTTCCCCAGGGTCAGGAATTGTCCCTAGACTGGCCCTTTCTCCTATTATGCCGTCTTTTCTCCCATTCTTCCCTGGCTGAAATGCCTCCACTGCTCCAGCTGGACTAAGCAGGCCAGTGCTCAGAGCCCCAGAGGAGCAAACAGGCTCCCCAGACCAAGGCCAGCTGGGTCCCAGCTCACAGCCTGCCCTCCCCACCCATTAGCCCTCAAAAGAGGAAGAGAGAAGGGGAACCCAGCTTTCTCAGAATCACTTTCTTCCCTTTGTAGTCTGGGGATGAGGCAATGCCCTGGGGTTGGGAGTGGCCATGAGGCCTGCAGGGCTGGGGACAGCTGGGGGCAGGGGCCCAGGCCATGGCAGGGAGAGGGGTCTGAGGCCGGGCTCACCCAGATTCCATGATTCAGGCCAGGTCTGGGTCCACCAGGGGCCGGGGCAGGCAGGAGACCTGGGACCACAGTGGCCCAGACCAGGCTGCACTGTGTCCAAGCTGACCACAGGAAGCCGGGGAGGAACCTGCCAGGTACCACGATGGAGTCACTGAGGGCCTCTCTACAGGTAAGCATGTTCGAAAGGTTGGAGATTTGGGACAGGATTGCGGGGGCTGGAGTGGGGCGGGGTGGACGAGGGGGAGAAACCCTGGGGAAGAGGATGTGGCCCTTAGGTTTATAGGAAGCTGCCCCTGAAGGCAGAGAAACTGAAACCCAGCTGGGCTGGTAGCCTGGCTGGCCTCCCCCTGGGACTGCCAGAACTTGGAGGCACCCTCAGCTTAGCAAATTTAATGCAGGGCCAGAGACCCACCGAGTCTGGGCCCGGGCCGGAGCCAGACCCAGGAATACACGAGGGCCCAGGGGGCCCAGGAGGGGTAAGTACCGAAGTGGGGCTGGGGGACAGCTTGGTCTGTGTCACCCCCCCCCCATGTCCAAGCCATAGAAGGGGAGCCCAGAGACCTCAGCTGGGACTCAGGCCCTGACCAGGGTGGGTGGTCGGCCCCAGCCGTCCCCACTCTCATTCCCTTCCACAGGGCTCTGGTCAACCTTGGGCCCCTCCTCGGGCTCTTCAGGAACCACCGAGAGTGAGTGGGGCTCCCCAGATGCCAGCAGGAGCTGCTCAGGCTCTTCTGACACCACCAGGACCAAGTCAGGCTCTTCTGCCTCAAACTCCTCAGACTCTTCGGGCGCGGCCCTGGGCTCCTCAGGTGTCGGGGACTCCTCGGGCCCTGGGCTGTTGATGACCACCACGTCCACCTCGGCACTGATGTCCCCCCCAAACCACACGGCTTTGTACCCTCCTTCCTCTGCCTTCCGTTCCTTGGTCAGGATGGACCTCACGGGTCCCTCTTTCCGGGTCCTGGGGCTCCTCTGCTCTGGGGCCTCGCCCATCTCCTCCTCCTTGGCCTCTCTGACCGCAGGGCCGGCCATCTCAAGCCCAGGCATTGGGGGGGCCGGGCCATTGCCGGGCCCCACTGGAGAGTCATCCTTGTCGGGCTGAGGCTCAGGTCCTGGCTCTGGGCTAGGTGACTCCTGAGCTTGGAATGTTTTATTATCATAGCCTGAGGCCTTTAAGTCAGTCTGTGGGAAGAGAAATGCAAGTAGTGAGGGAGGTCCCTGGCTCAGCCCCCGAGCAAACACCTCCCCCACATCTCCTTCCCCAGAGGCTCATCTCTCAGCACCTACTGTCTCTTTCTCTGCCCCTGCCTCTTCGCTTTTATCTCTATTTCATATATTTCTTTTCTGTATATAGGTCTGTAGAGAGACATAGCTCTAGGCCCGAAGTCAGAAAGACCTGAGTTCAAATCCCACCTTAGACACTTCCTAGCTGTGGGACCCTGGGCAATTGACTTCCCTGCTGCCTGCCTCAGTTTCCCCATCTGTAAAATGGGGATAATAGCAGCACCTCCCTCCCAGGGCTTCTGGGAGAATCCAAGGAGATAACAGCTGCAGAACACTTTCTCCTGTGTCCTCTCTTACTCTTGACTCTATCTGTATGTCTTGTGTCTCTGCGCCACCTACATCTTTATCCCTTCCAGAGATAGTTCTTGCCTGTCTCAATGTCTTGTCTCTGGATCCCCGCTGTCTGTCTCTGTCCTTGTCTCTTGTCTTTCCATCTCTCTGTCTTTCCTTCTGGTCTCTGTCCTCTCCTCTCCCTCTTATCTCTGTCTCTCTTGTCTGTGGATCCCTGCTGTCTGTCTTTCCTCGCCACCCTCCCAACTCTGCCTCTGTCTCTGCCCCCGAGCAGGCCTCACCTCATACTTGCTGCTGAGACCATGCTTCTGGCCCTTATTGTGCTTGTAGATGAAGACTGCCAACAGTACCAGGGTCAGCAAGAGCAGGGCTCCCAGCACCCCTCCCATGATGGCCATCCCATTCACCATGGGCCCCAGCTGCTCCTGGTCTTCTGGAGAGCCACCTGGAGGAGACACCAGCCAGCCTCTAGCTTCCAGCCTCCCCTGGGGGCCTAGATCCTCTCATCTGGATGCAGCCAGAGAGTCATGTGGAGGGATGACCTGTTCCTGCCCAGCCCCCTCCCCCCACCCATTGGCCAGAGTTCCCCACAGGGCAGGGCCAGCCCAGGACTTTAGGCCCTGTCTATCCTGACTGTGTCACATACTGTCATAAACCACTCGGGAGAGGGAAGGGAAGGGAGGGTGGGGGAGTAAACAAGGTCTCAGGGCCTCTCCCCAGGGGGCAGCCCGGCAGATGTCACATCTGAGGTGGAGCCCAGGGCAGCCGGGCTGGCCACCTGACTAGATAAGGGGGTCCAGATCCTCTAGCTATGGGCAGGTGTGTGGCTGGGGGGTTGCTGGCACAGCAAGTGGGGGGCAGCTTTGCACAGAGGTTTCAGGGAGGGAGCCTGGGGGGATGGCACTGATGAAGATGGGGAGCACCACCTGTGGGCCTGGAGGGTCCAATGGGCCCTGGAGAGGTTGCTGATGAGACACTTTGCTCTGGAGATGGTCCACCTGGGGCTGCTGATGTTTCTCCCGTGATCCCCCCTGGTGCTCCAGTCTGGGAGTTCGAGCCAGGCTGCTCCAATGCTTCCCGCCCTCATCCCCAGGAACCCAGGGAGCCTGTGGGCAGGGCCTTTGGGAGCTGGCTTAGCTGGGCCTGCCCTGAGGGGCTGGGAGGGGATGCTACCTGGAGTAGTGGGCTTTGTGTCCTGGACAAGGATTTCAATAGTGGTGGTGTCTTTCTCGGAAGTCAGATAGTCCAAGACTTCAGCCTGAGGCAGGGAGCAGGCCCGGTCAGCTCTGTCCCAATGCCACCCACCCCCTACCCGCGGGCACCAGCCCCTGGGACGGAACCTACCTGCAGGTAAAGCACCTGCGGAGGCCCCACACTGGCATTGGTCAGCACAATCTCTCCAGACATCCTGAAGGCTGAGCTGTTGGTGATTTGGTACCTGAGGCCTGAATTGGGCACCTGCAGGATAGGACATTGGGATGAGTGCACCCCAGCCCCCTCCCTCGTGCCCCCAGGAGACCCCCTCCCCCCTCATCTCTCCTTCCCTTTCCCCCAGGAGGGCTCTCTTCCCTCTTTTCTCCCCAGACTCTCTCCCATGATACCCTCCTTCCTTACACCTGCTGGGAAGTCATCATCTTCAGCTCTGAGCCTCAGCTCCCTATCAGGGTCTTCTGTGTCCCTCACAGCCACGTTGATGCCAGTGCCTGGGGGCAACCAGCCTCGGTATAGGGCCTGGGGGAATCGAGGTGGGTACAGCTGCCCAGCCACTGCCTGAATGGTGACCTGAGTCACAGAATAGCTTCCTGTGTTCCTTTGTTGTTGAGCCTAGAGAGAGCGGGGAGCCAAGGCACAGAGTGAGCTTCCAACAGGGTCCCGAGAGGGAGGCCCCATCCACCATCAGAGACAGAGGACGGCTGCAAGAGCCAGTGAAGGTCACCCAGAATAAGGTGGGAGAGAGGGAGTGAGCGGGATGGAGACAACAGCCATGTCCATGGGGCCCTGTGATGGGGAGCCCTTGTGGGGAGCAGCTGGGTACCCCAGACTGTGCCCCAGGCACAATGAAGCACTGCTCCCTTGGAGCCTACCCATGGGGAAGGGGAGGCAGTCAGTCCAGCAACATGTATTAAGCACCTACTGGGTACCAGGAGCTGTGCTAAACATTGGAGATGAGAGAGGTAAAAGACAGTCCCTGCCCTCAAGGAGCTCACAATCTAGTGGGGGAGACAACATGTAAATGAACAGATACAAAGCCAGCTCTAGACAGGATAAAGGGAAGATCCTGGAGTAGAAGGGGTGGGGAAGGCTTCCTGTAGGAGGTGGGATTTCAGGAAGCCAGGGAAATGAGTAGGAAGAGTGTTTCAAGCATGTGGGAGGGGATGCTGTGGAATGACCAGAGAAAGAGCCTAGAGATGGAAGGTCTTGTTCATGGAAGAGCTGGGAGGCAGGGGGGCCTCAAAGAGTAATGTGGGAGAAGGTGTAGGGAAACTGGAAAGGGGGATGGGCAGGTTATGAAGGGCTCTGAATGCCAGAGAATGCCAGAGAAAAAGATTTTCTGTTTCCTCCTGGAGGTGATAAGAAGCCCTTAGAGTTTACTAGGTAGGGTCAGGAAAATCATTTTGGTGGCTGAATGGCGGATAGATTGGAGTGGGGAGAGACTGAGGCAGGCAGACCCTCCAGTAGGTTATTGTAATAGTCTAGGAGTGAGAAGATGAGAGTCTGCACCAGGGTAGGGGCAGGATCAGAGGAGAGGAGGGGGTGTATTGGAGAGATGCTGCGGAGGTGAAATGGATAAGAGATACCTGGAGGTGAAATCTACCAGAGATGGTGCAGAGGTGAAATCGACAAGAGATGGTGCAGAGGTGAAATGGACAAGAGATGCTGCAGAGGTGAAATCCACAGGCTTTGGCTACCATATTGGATCTGAGGTCTGAGAAAGAGTGAGGACTCCAGAATGATGCCTGAGTTGGGAGCCTGAGGGACCAGAAGGAGGGTGGTGCCCTCCACACTAATAGAGAAGGTTTAGGGGGAAAGAGAATGAGTTTGGCTTTGGACTGTCCAGTTCAAGATGTCTGAACTGTTGGAAGATTGGAGGTCAACTGGGAAGTGGGGGCAGGAAAGATAGATTTGAGATGGTCATTGAATCCATGAGAGCTGATAAGATCCCCAGGTGAAATAGAGGGAGAAGAGCAGAGGGCCTGGGCCAGAGCTGGAGAGATACCCTCCCAGTGGGGGAGGGCATAGGCTAGGGAGGAGAATAGCACCCAGACCTGCTTCTCACCTGGACCAGCAGGGTGAAGGTCATGGGGACAGGGACAGCTTTGGCCATGGTGACGTTCCCCGTGTCCACACCAATCTGAAATGTATTGTCTGTATTCCCTGGGGGGGGAGGGTGGAAGTCACCTTCAGTCAGTCATCTCTGTGTCTGCCCCCTCCTCAACCCAGAGGAAGGGTGGTGGGCAAGCAGTGTAGAGGGCCTGGGCTCTGATGGGGTGGGGGCAGGGGAGGTTGGCTGTCAGAGATCTGGGAGTGTGTCTCACCCCCAATAATGCTGTATTCAATTGGTTCATTGATGGCAGTGTCTCCATCTATAGCGTACACAGGCCCAGGTTCGAAGGTCAGGGGTTCTGTCTAGAGGAAGGGAGGAGGAGAAGCAGTTGGGTGGTGTCCTTGGCCCACACTGGCCAGGAGGGAGGGCTGGTGGTTTCCTGCAGTGTCTATCTCTGGGGCCTCAAGCTGACCCTAATTGGCCTATGCAAAGTTTCTTTGGGGAGTAAGCAATGCCAAGACCTTTCTGCCAAGGAAGCAGGACTGAAACCACTGGTGGGCACATCTGGAAGGTTATGGGGGGAACTCCCTTGAGAACCTTGGCCAAATGAGGAGAGAACATTGTTATGAAATGACTAGGGCTGGGGACTGGCCCTGGGCTTCAGCAGGGTCAGAAACATGCAGGGGGGGCAGTGTTTCTGGGCACAAGAGTCTCCGAGGAATGCCAGCTCTCTTCCTCCTCCTCCTCCTCCTCCCCTCAGCTGCCTACCTCTCCTTAAGTCACCAGTCAGGCCAGGAACCTGACCAGGAGCTCACAATCTTACTTGGGCAGGCAGAAGCTCAGAGAGGAATGGCCCCCAAGCCCTGACTGCCAAGACAGGAACAGTCTCCAGCCCAAGCCACTTAATAACTATTTTCCCAGGTTCTCAAGGAAGTTCCTCCTGTAGCCTCCCAGACATTCCCTCCAGTGGCCTCAGCCCTGCTTGCTTGGTAGGAAGGTGCTGGCACTGCTCACTCCTTGCAGGAACTCTGCAAAGCCCAGTTGGAGTCAGATTGGAGCCCCAGGAATGGACACTGTGGTCAATGGAGCCCTGTGGGAGGCCTTCGCTGGTCCTCCCTCCTGGCCACCTGAGTATGGGTGGTTGGGAGTTCACATGAGGAGACATGCCTGCCCACCCCAGCTTTGTTCCCCTGCCCCACCCCCTGCCCTAGGAACAGATATTACCAGGACAGAGCCAGTGGGCACAGCTCCTTGGTACTGGGCATGGACACAGATTCGCCCATCAGTGAACACACAGGGTAAGAACCATGGAGGGCGTATGTCCGCAGGCAACACTTGGATTGTGATTGTGGCCGTGGCAGTGTGGCTAGGCACCTCTTGTGGCTCTTCAGTGTCCTGTGGCAGAGCCCCCAGCCACACATGAGCAGGATGCAGGAGGGCCTGGCTAACCACCCCATGCTGGTGCTGGGGTACTCTTTTCTATAGTCCCCTTCAAATCCCCTGGCCTTAGGGGATGAAGATACCTGCTTGGGGGCTAGGGGTCACTGGGCATAGACTATGCTCTCTTGGCTCTGGTCTGTCAGGACACCTAAGTGCCCAAAGGCTCCAGGGCACAGAGAGAGCTCAAAGAGCATGAGGTATCACCCCTTCATCTTAGAGAGGGGGAAACCAAGGCCTAGAACTGCCTAGGAGCACACAGCCAGGTTCCTTGGGGGCCAGAAGGGGAAGGAACTCACCCTGGCCAGAAGGTGGAGGACCATGACTGGGTTCTTCTCATAGTCCAGAGTCCGGTTCAGCTGCAGGGCAGGGAAGTTAACTCCAGCCAGGTAGAAAAACAGCTCTGCATCCTGAGGCAGGGGTGGAGGGGCAGGAGGGTCAATGAGCAGCCAGCTGGAGCCCAGCGCTCTCTGCCTGCTTCCTAGACAAGCGGCTGAGTCATATACCTCAGCTGGAGCCCAGCACCAGGCTCTGGCTGGCAGTCGGGGTGGGAGGGGGGAGGGAGTTGATGCTCAGGGATCCTGGAGAGGATTGGGGGAGGAGGAGGAGGATGCTCTGAGGTCTTGGAGGGGCTGGGAGAGGGAGGGGGTGCTCTGGGGTCCTGGAGGAGTTGGGGGAGGAGGAGGGTGCTCTGGGGTCCTAGAGGAGTTGGGGGAGGGAGGGGGTGCTCAGGGGTGCTGGAGGAGTTGGAGGAGAAAGGGGGTGCTCAGGGGTCCTGGAGGGGATTAGAGGAGGAGGAGGGTGCTCTGGAGGAAGCCAGCTCAACTGACCAGGGGGCTCTGCCCTAAGAGACTGTAGAAGAGTGTGTCCCCATCTTTGTCTGTGGCTGTCAGTTCTGTGGCTGGGATGACAGTGGTCCCCACCTTGGTGTCCTGCACAGAATTTGGGGAGGTTGGGTGGGAGCAGCTCAGCTCCACCCCTGCTTTGGACCCCAGCACCACTCTCTCACCTCTCCCAACCCCACCCCCATCTTGCACCATTGCATGCATTGCACAGCTCACCTCACTAACATTCCAGGCCTTGCTGGAAAAGGGAAACTCGGGAGCCATGTCATTGACATTGATGACCTCCACAATCACAGGCAGCCTGGTCACCTGCAGCAACTCAGCGGTTAGAGGTCAAGGGTCATCACTCCTTCCAACCCACTTCCCCATCCTGATGCCCAGCCCCCACACTCACCACAATGGACCCCTCTTTGCACTCTAGGATTGCAGTCAGCACAGTATGCGTCTGGGTGGAGGGAAGAAGGGAATGTGGAACTGGTCATTTCCTTAACAAGCCAAGCCCCTGGACATCCACACTTTGGAGTGACAGATTGAGGGAGAGCCTTCCACCGCCTCCCTACCTGAGGTGGAGTGGGCAGAGGGGGAGGACCTAGAGGACCCGGGCGGGGGTGGGGGGAGAAGAAGGAGGGGAAAGGGCGTAGAGGGCTGGCGCCTGGCTCACCTCATAATCGGGGGCCCTGGTGAGCCTCAGCTCACCATTCTCAATATAGAAGATGTCCGCAGGATTGGACGAATCACTCACATCCACCGTCTGCCCGAGGGGTGCAGTGACGTTGGCTATGGGTCTTGTAGGGACTTCATTCTCTACCACAGAGAACAACTCCTGGTCCACAGAGCACACTGGGGGGGGATTCCCACTCTGAATCAGCACTGACCCTTGAATTCCCCTGGAATCTCCCTGCATCCCTGCCCCCAGCCTCTCCTCCCCTAGCCTCTCCTCCCTAGCCCCTTGCCCCCAGGCTCTCCTCCCCCTAGGCTCTCCTCCCCCAGCTTCTCTTCCTCCCAGTCCCCTGCCCCAAGCCCCTCCTCCCCCCAGTCGCCTGCTGCCAGCCCTCTCTCCCCAGCCTCTCCCCCCTACCCCCACCACCTCCCTTGCCCAGAGCACCCTGACTCCCTTCCCCCAGCCCTGCCTTCCCTTCAACCCCACTACCCTGGATCTGGCCCTCAGCTCCAGGGAGAAGCAGCAGCAGAGGCAGAAGCCCCAGGGCCCAGCCAGAGGCCTCCAAGGTGGGGGAGTAACCCAGGCCCCCCATCCCAGGGGCCTCCAAGGAAGGGGAGGAAAGATCTTTCAGCCTGGTTTGGCCCACCCTGCCCTGCCCTGCTGCTCCCCGGGCACGCAGGAACGCAGAATGACCTTTGAGTCGGGCAAATGACGATTATTTATGGCACCTCCAGCTGGGGCTGGGGGGGGGGCGCCCACTGTAACGCACCCCCACCCCCAGGTCTCAGCCCTCCCAGCACCCCAGAACAGGGAGCCTGGGACACTGTCATCTGACTGGCCCTGGTCCTGGGGAGGAGTTGGGGAGCGGGAACTTGCGTCTGAACTGTTAGAAGATCCCTGCTCTTTGTCCCTCCTCACTGCACACACAAGAAAATGAGAGACCGGAGCCCAGAGTGGGCGGACAGAAGGCACAGTGTTTGCTGGACTCAGATCCCTGTGTCCAGAAGGTCTTGTGGGGGGACCTTTGGTCTGCGGGTGCCTGGCTCCTAGACAGTCCATTCTTCAGCAGCATCCATCCTGTCCCTCCCTCCTTCTTTCAACCACCCTGGGATTCAGACCATTAACTAGTCAGTGGCCTCAACTGCTGAAAAAGGAACTTTCTCATTTCCCTCACTGTGTGGAGAGGGACTAATCCTTGGGAAGGTGTGAGAGGATGAGGTCTGAGGGGTAAGTGACCCCAGGATATGCCCAGAAGAGAGGTCCTCGAGGGCTGTGGGCTGGGAAGGGAGGCATGGGGGCAGTGGCAAGGGACGGGCCCAGCTCCTGCACAGGCACTCTGGCCATGAAGTTTTTTAAATTTTCTGCTTTTTGTTATGAATGGAATCACTCAAAACCAACCAAAAATAGTAACTCACATTTATATAGTGATTTAAAGTTTACAAAATAGTCAGCTCACCTTCCTTAGGTGCCTACCCTATGCCTTGTGTTAAGCCAGGGTGGGGAACCTTTGTCCTTGAGGCCCCACGTGGCCCTCTAGGTCCTCAAGTGCAGCCCTTCGACTGAATCCAAACTTCACAGGGGATGAAGACCTAGAGGGCCATGTGGGGCTGAAGGTTCCCCACCCCTGTGTTAAGCATTGGGGAATACAAAGAAAAGTAGAAACAGGATCCCATTTGACCCTCCCAGATTGTTCAGCTATTGTCATTGAGTTATATCTGTATCTGATGCTCTGGGACCCTGTTTGGGGTTTTCCTGGCAAAGATACTGGAGTGGTTTGCCCTTTCTTTCTCCATCTCTATTTGCAGATGAGGAAGCTGAGGCAAACAGGGTGAAGTGACTTGTCCAGGGTCATTTAGCTAGTAAGTGTCTGTGGCTGGATTTGAACTCAGGTTGTCCTGACTCCAATTGCGGGACTCTAGGACTAGGGGAGGGAGGAGGCAGGATTAATCCTCTCTGATTGTACCTATCTCAACCCACTGGGGGCTGACTGGGAGGGGGGAGGAGGCTTTCCCTGGAGCCCATTTAGGAGCTTCAGGAGTCATGAGATTAGCTACAGAGGGTTTTAGTCCAGGGCTAAGGTTGGCGGGGCTACTAGGCTTAGCCAGAAAGCTTGGAAAGCCAGATCACAAAGAAAACTCAGGAAGGGCTGAATGCTGCCCCCCACCCCAAGCCTTCGGTGGATTGCCAAGTGCTTGGCAGCTCACTTGGTATAATTACTGACCCCAGCACCGCCTCTGCTTCCTTAAGCCCTCTTTGGCAGGCAGTTCATTCTACTGAACTCCTAAGAAAATGCAAGATGAAAATGGAATGAAGTGAGCAGGAAGAGGACCCTAGCATCTGTGCACTGCCTCAGAAGGTCTGGGAACCTTAGGTTTCCCTTTCCCATTTCCCTTTGGTTGGATCACTAATTCCTTCTGTAATCTTGTTTCATTTGCCAGCTAGAAAAACTGGGATTTTCTCAAGTGATTCCGTTTGGCAACCCCATCTGAAATGGAGGACAGAGCAGAAAAATAGCCATGCCCCAATAGGAATGTCTTGTACTATCCCAAGGTGGGCATCCCAGAAGGAGGGCAGTGAGTTTCTAACTGGATTCCATGGGCAGGGGAGGCATCTTTGCTGGAGGAAGGTTTTGGGTTTTTTTTGGGGGGGGGGTCAGGATAGAGAGCCAAAGAAGTATGTGGGAATGTTTGTTGATGTTTCCTTTGTCTAGGAAGATGATGCAAAGGAAGTCATAGGTACAACTAGGTGGCACTGGAGTCCAAAAGACATGAATCGAAATCTTGCCTCAGAGGCTTATTAGCTATGTGACCCTGGGAAAGTAATTTTTCCTCTCAGCCTCAGTTTCCTCAAGTGCAAAATAGGGATAACAACAGCACCCCTCAAGATTATTATGAGGATCAAAGGAGATAATATTTGTAAAGTATTTAGTACAGCGTCTGGAGTCTTGCAGATGCTTAATAAATGCATACTACATACAGAGGAGTGGGGTGGAGCCAAGACTGTGGGGAAAAGGCAGCTACTTGCCTGAGCTCTTCCAAACCCCTCCAAACACCTTTAAATAGTGCCACAAAACAATTCCTGGAGCAGCGTAACCCACAAAAAGATGGGGTGAAATAATTTTTCCAGCCAAAGACAACTTAGGAGGTTGGCAGGAAAGGGGCAAGGGAGCAGTCAGCTAGTCAGAGGGGGGTTGCAGGGGTCTCTCTGCTAGCACTGAAGCAGAACTCTGTTGTTTTGCCCATACTCTGCCTAGGCTATTCTGGAGAGGAAAGGAGCTAGGATTACAAGCAAGAATCACCTATCCAGCAAGACTGAGTATAATCCTTCAGGGGGGAAAATGGATATTCACTGAAATGGAGGGCTTTCAAGCATTCTTGATGAAAAGACAAGAGCTAAAAGAGAAAATCTGACTTTCAAATACAAGACTCCAGAAAAGCATAACAAGGTAAATAGGAAAGGAAAGGTAAAACTGTTTACATTCCTAGATGGGAAGATGATACTTGTAACTCATAAGGCCTTTTTCATTGTTAGGGCAGTTAGAAAGAGCATATCTAGACAGAGGGCACAGGTGCGAGTTGAATATGAAGGGATGATACCTAAAAAAATAAAATTAAGGGGTGAGAGAGGAATGTACTGGGAGAAAGAGAAAGTGACAGGTAAAATGAGGGTAAATTATCTCACATAAAAGAGGCAAGAAAAAACTTTTACAGTAGAGCAGGGAGAGGTGAAGGAGAGTGAGTGAACCTTACTCTCATCAGAATTGGCTCAAAGAAGGAATAACATACATACTCAGTAGGGTATAGAAATCTATCTTACCCTATGGGAAAGTAGGAGGGAAAGGGGATAAGAGAAGGTGAGGTGATAGAAGGGAGGGTAGATTCGGGGAGGCGGTAGTCAGAAGCAAAACACTTTTGAGGAAGGACAGGGTGAAAGGAGAGAGAGAATAGAATAAATGGGGGGTAGGATGGAGGGAAATACAGTTAGCAACAGTAACTGTGAGAAACATTTTGAAACCAGTTCTCTGATAAAGGCCTCATTTCTCAAACATATAGAGAACTGAGTCAAATTTATAAAAGTAAGAGCCATTCCTCAACTGATAAATAAGGAAAAGATATGAACAGTTTTCTGATGAAGTAAGCAAAGCTATCTATAGCCATATGAAAAATGTTCTATGTTGAGGGCCTGAGCTGGAGAGTCTAATAAGGGCTCACTTATTCAGAATATTTGGCTTGCCAATTTCCCCTGCCTGGGAGGTGTTAGAACACTCTGCCCCTTGAACCTTGATGGCAAGCAGGTGTGTACAATTAAGGATGCGAATAAGGGCTGGAATTAGTCACATAAGAATGATGGGAACACCTCGGGGATGATTGTTAGCTTTCACTATATGCCCCAGACCCTCAGAATAATAAGCGGCTCAATCTTTCACTGACCTGCCTGGCCCACGTCTCTTCATTTCACACTCCTCCATTTGATGCAACACTTGGTGGCGGGCGACAGGCCCGAACAGGAACCTCAAAAGGTACGAGGGGAGTGGCTCTCTTGGTGCTCCAGAGAAGAAAAAAGAAAAAAAGAAAACCCTTGGCGGCTCTACGCTGTGGAAATGAGGTCCTTGGAGGCTCAACACTGGGAGGACAAGGTAAGAGAGCGATAGTCACACGACACATCCTTTAGCAGTTTTAGGGCTAAGGGGACACCAGGCAAGTGGGATATAGGAACATAAGGAAAGAAAAGAGAAAGGGCTCGAGCATAAGAATAGTGTCGCTTTGGAATGGCCACGCGCACTTACTTTCGGTTTTGGGAAGCACACCTAGGATCGAAAGTATGGGTCAAACACAAAGCGGAAGCAAAGACAGAGAATATTATCTACAACTTTTCAAGGAAATAGTGAAAGAAAGAGGTTTATTTATTACAGACGGTCAGTTACAGGAATTTTTGGAATGTGTAGAAACATGCTGCCTGTGATTCCCTCCAGAAGGAACAATAAACTTAGAAATGTGGGAAATGGTGGGCCGACAAATGAGTGAGCACTACAAGGAAGTAGGTCCAAGTGCATTCTCCATAGCTACATTCTCAGTTTGGAACATGCTAAAAATATGTCTTACTCCCCCAGAGAAGGTGCTATTAACAACAAAAGTACTTAAGGCGGATGTGGGGGCGGGAACAGAGGAAGAAGAAGAGATGAATAGAGTATTTGAGGAAAAGCTTAGAACTGTAGAAGAAGATGTTATCTATGCAAAATCTATCACAGCTTCAGCACCACCGCATCCCCCGCCTTCATACAGATCAGGCTCATACAGAGAAGATAGTGAGGAGATGAATAAAAATCAAAAAAGCCATAAAATACATTGTAAAGGGTTATTAGAAGAAGCAATTACAAAAGCAGAGGAAAAAGGAGAGGAAATACCCAAGGAATTAAAATTAGCTGTGCCAAAAACCATGCTATTTCCAGTATATGAGGAGGAAGATGTAAATAACCCAGGTACAAACATCAGAATTCATAGACAGTTTGAATTTAAATTGTTAAAAGAATTAAAACAGGTTTTAGTTAATTACGGACCTAATAGTCCTTATGTACAAACACTGTTGGACGCAGTATCCAATACAGCATTAGCCCCATGTGACTGGTATTCTATAGTAAAGACATGTCTTGATCCTGGAGATTATTTGCTGTGGAAGTCAGAATACTTGGAGCAAGGTCAGGAACAAGTGAAATGTAACAACAGAACAGGAGCTCCTATTTCTTTCAAACAATTAACAAGAGCAGGGAGATACACAGAATTACAGGAACAATGGCAATTTCCCCTTTAAATTCCTCAGAATAATAATAATAATAATAATAATAATAGACAATTTGTGTTAAGAGTTTTTTTAACAAGCCTCTAATTTCCTTTCTTGGTGTCATTAAGTGCACACTATGTCACTAGGTATTGTATTTGTCCTGTCAGTTTGTATGTCAGGATGTGTCTCTGTATGTAACTGTACTTCATAGGATTTTCAATGCAGCCAGAGATTTCTGGGGGCTGCAGCTAGGGAAGCAACAAATTGTAAAGCTCCTTTCGTTGTGGATCCAGGCCTGGCCAGCCTGGACTTACAGTGAAAAGCTGTATACAGGTAGAAACATTTTAGCAGATTCTGAGGTTTTGAGATTAGTCATTAAGAAACTGGGAAATTGTTCATTTGGGGACTGTTGGAGAGAACTTCTAAGACTGGGGGTAATTCCAGAAAGCTTTACAAGGAGGTAAACTTAGTATGACTAGAGGAGAAATGATCCAGAGACGTCAGGATATAGGAACCACACATTTTCAGGCACAAGTGATGGCAGCAGCATTTAATAACACTTCAAGGACTCAATGAATATTAAAATGCTCTAATTGTGGGAAACCAGGTCACATAAAAAGCAAATGTGAGACACACAAAAGGATACCACAAAATTCTCCCAGTACGCTCCGTCCCAAATGTCACCGTGGTACTCATTGGTTTTCTCAATGTAGATCTTTTAAGAGGAACAGAAGGGTTTGGAAGCACAGAGATGTTTTGGCATAGAACTATCACAGATGCCAGACCTACATTAAAGATAGAAGTACAGGGAAGAGATTTGCTGAAACATATGAATGTCACTATAAGGAGCAAAAATTTTTGTAGGGGTCACAGCCAAAGATAAAAGAACAGTACAAGTTCCAAAAATAACTTGGAAAGAAGGGCCTCCCATATGGGTGGACCAGTGACTGCTTGATTTAGAAAAAAATCAGGGCTTTTCAACAGATAGCAGAGGAACAATTAGCTGCAGGACACATAGAACCATCCACAAGTCCATGAAACTCTCCAATATTTGCCATTAAAAAGAAGTCAGGAAAGTGGAGGATACTGAAGATCTCAAACAGACAAATCATGGCATGGAAGAACATGTTGAGGAACCTTTGGAACTTAGAAAACTATTGACCAGTTATAGATAAGTGGTTTAAGCAGCCAGAAGGTTCATCTTTGTAAAGAATTAATTAAAGTAGATCAACTAAAAACAGCTGGAAAAAGAGAATTGTTATTGGATACCACATACAGGGACTTTTAAATACCTAAAGATTAAACTTAGATGTCAGCAAAATAATATCATAGTACTAAAAGATATAATAAAGTCCAGAACAGGGATCTCTATTACTATGGCAGATTTATTTCACCCCTCCAAGAAAGCAAGATCATATATAATTTCCAATTTCAGCTAATTAAGATGCTTTACATAGGAGTAACATGAGTGTTTCAGATGCTGTCTTTGATTCTGTAAACAGCCAGAGTCCCACCCCCATTTGTTCACCAACATTTAATCTGTTATCGGTTATATCAATTAGTAACACTTTACACATTTTACCATTATAACACTGCATTAACATTCTGCATGTATTTTATATAACCAGTAACTGGATGAAAAGGCCTGTGGTGCCTCCAAAGTGTAGGAAGAAATTTTGCCAGCATGCGTGCCAGATTACTGAGTATAAGGTGCACCAGCAGCCCATGCTTGCTTAATTTATACATGAAATGCAATCTTAAAATCAGTCATTCTACTATAGAACACCACAGATAATGCATCCATTCTCACTAATTCTAACCAGTCTAGTGGCATTGACTGTCCTTTGAATAAAGGGAGAAAAATAATAGTGGAATGTTTTTCATGGTTTTCCAAATAAAACACATCACTGGAATCCCATATAACCCCTGCGGGACAAACAATGGTGGAATGAACAAATCGATCCCTGAAAAGACTTCTTCAAAAGCAAAAAAGGGGAGAAGTAAGGGGAAGGCCACAAAGACAATTGGCACAAGTGGTGTATGCTCTGAATTTTCTTACATCTCATGGAGAAGGCTCTACCCTGGCTGCAAAACACTTTAAGGTTTATGGGAAAGAGAATAATGAAGAACAAAAGACTCAAAAAACAGTCATGGGGAAGGACCCAAAAACCAATCATTGGTTTGGGCCAGATAGGTTGTTGACCTGGGGAAGAGGGTATACTTCTGTCTTTCCAGATGGTGCAGAAGGACCAGTATGGGTTCCTGAACATAATATCAGGATCTGTGCCCGAGAGGACCCAGAGACTTTGGACACTCAGATGGCAGAACAGGCACAGAGACAAAAGAACGAGGAAGGAATGCTCAAGACAACAGAGCAAGACCCTGGAGTTCAATCAAAGCATTGACTCTCACTTTCCCCTGCAGCCTTGAGGTGTCGTTTTTCTTCAGTGCCTGTACAATGTACTCTTTCATTTTACAAGGGCAAGCTGGTCAGAATTGAGTCTCCTTCTCTCCTCCACCTTGGGATGTGACTTCTTAAGGGAAGAATCAACCCCAGGACACATTGCTAAAGTGACTAACATTGTACAAGAAGAGTTATGTTTGCATTGCTTACCACCTTGCAGGGGGGGATTTTACAGTTTCAAAGGGAAAGCCAGTATGCCTCTAATGTATTTCAGGATAGATGTAACTTTTGATCATTGTGTTATCTGGGATATTGTATCCCTTGTATCACTTATTGTCTCATCAGTGTCATTTGGCAACAGCTTCATTGTGTTATCTGGGATGTTGTATCCTTTGTGTATTTACCAGCTTTAAAAAGCAGGAAGCATTGGCTTGGAATGTATCATTGGCATAGTGTTGAAATTATTGGAGAGCTTTGATTCTGATTTGTCTTTTGCTAACAGTCATTTCCCAGGGACTCAACCCCAGAACCTAGCTCAAGAAATTTTGGAAAATTGGGTGTAACCAATTTATTTGAAAATGTACCTGCTTTACTGTTTCAATCTGTTTTCATAGGCAATATTGCTTGTTATATTATCTACAGCAATGGGTAAATCATGGTTCAAGTCTCTGGGTACAGATAGTCATTACCTTAAGTCAATTTAAAAAAAAGAGGGGGGGAAGTTGTTGAGGGCCAGAGCTGGAGAGTCTAATAAGGGCTCACTTATTCAGAATATTTGGCTTGCCAATTTCCCCTGCCTGGGAGGTGTTAGAACACTCTGCCCCTTGAACCTTGATGGCAAGCAGGTGTGTACAATTAAGGATGCGCATAAGGGCTGGAATTAGTCACATAAGAATGATGGGAACACCTCGGGGATGATTGTTAGCTTTCACTATATGCCCCAGACCCTCAGAATAATAAGCGGCTCAATCTTTCACTGACCTGCCTGGCCCACATCTCTTCATTTTGCACTCCTCTATTTGATGCAACACTTAGTTACAGGCGACAGTCCTAACTCACTGTTGATTGGAGAAATGAAAATTAAAACAATTCTCAGGTACTACCTCATACCTATTAGATTGGCTAATAGGACAGAAAAGGAAAATGACAAATGTTGGAGAGGATGTGGGAAAAATGAGACATGAATGCACTGTTGGTGGAGTTGTGAACTGATTCAACCATTCTGTAAAGCAATTTGGAACTGTGCCCAAAGGGCTATAAAACCATGTATACCCTGGCTGGCCACATTGTTCAAATGCAAAACATAAGCTTGCCAGAAAGACTATTTTATGGAAAACTCACATGAGGCAAGTGCTCACTTGGTTAGCCATACAAGGACACTCTCAAGGTCTCTCTTAAGAATTTTGGAGGGGCAGCTAGGTGGTATAGGGGCAGCTAGGTGGCACAGTGGATAGAGCACCGGCCCTAAAGTCAGGAGGACCCGAGTTCAAATCCATCCTCAGACCAAACACTTGACACTTACTAGCTGTGTGACCCTGGGCAAGTCACTTAACCCCAATTGCCTAAAAAAAAAAAAAAGAAGAAGAAGAAAAGAAAAGAAAAGAATTTTGGAATTGATTGTGTGACACGGGAGATGCTGGCACAGGACTACTCAGCATGGCGTGCCCTCAGAGAACAAAGCAGAACTGAAGCAGCTCAAAAGAAACACAAGATGTGAAAATGTTCACACGGACTGTGTGTGCCCCACGTGTGGTAGAACTTTCTGAGCTTGTATTGGTCTGATCAGCCACGGCTGGACACACTGGACTTGGACTCTAGCACAATAAGGTCGCTTTGGTCCTCTTCAAGAATGAAGAGCAACAGCTAGCCAGCCACTGCTAGGTCTGCATCCCAAAGAGATGAAAAACAGAAAGGAAAAGGACCCACATGCACAACAATATTTCTAGCAGCTAATTTCTGCAGGCAAAAAATTGGAAGTTGAGGGATGCCCATCCATTGCAGAACGGTTAAACAAACTGCGGCATGTGATTATGATGGAATACTATTGTGCTAAAAGAAATGATGAGAAGGATGCTCTCAGAAAAACCTGGAGGCAGCTAGGTGGTGCAGCAGATAGAGCTCAGGCCTTGGAGTCAGGAAGACCTGAGTTCAAATCCAGTCTCAGACATTGGACATTTGCTAGCTGTGTGACCCTGGGCAAGTCACTTAATCCCCATTGCCTCGACAAAAAGCAAAACCAAACAAACAGAAAAAAAAAACCATGGAAAGACTTACATGAGCTGATGCGAAGTGAAATGTACTGTGTACAGAGTTACAGCAGCATTATAAGATTATCAGCCATGAATGACGTAGCTCTTCTCAGCAATACAATGATCTGAGACAACTCTGAAGGACTTAGGATGAACGATGCTGTCCATCCCCAGAGAAAGAACTGATGGTGTCTGAATACAGACTGAAGCATGCTTTTTTAAACTTTCTTTATTTTTCTTGAGGTGGGTTTTTTTGAGGGGGTCTATGTTTTCTTTCACAGCATGACTAATATGGAAATATTTTGCTTGACTAAAGAAAAATGTAAATCCATGTTTCCCTCCTTCCTTATTTTATAATGCATGTACTCAACGAATACAATTTTTTCTCAGTTCTGAAGGCCAGAGCATGTCTTGTCCCACACTGGTTTCCCTCCTAGGGGTCCCCACCCCACCCTTCTGACCCATTAGAGCTCAGAACCACCAGGTACTGTTGATGAACTCTGTTTTTCCTGTCTCTAGCTTGCCTGCTGTCTCTCCGTTAGAATGGGAACTCCTGAAAGGCAGGGACTTGGCATTTCTTTGTGTCCCAACACTTGGCACTGTGGCTGGCACACTGCAGGTGCTTAAGAAGTGCTTGTTGACTGAGAGATTGGCTGACAGTTTGGGGAACCCTACGGATCCCTTCTCAGAATCACTGTTTTACATGCGAAAAGGAAAGTACATAGGATTACAAAGGCAACCAGATATACTGAAACAAAGTGATTAGAATATTTTAAGAGATTTTTGTAAAGTGGTTTTCAAACCTTACAATGCTTTACAAATGTGCGCTATAACAGAAACAAAACAAAACAAGCAGGTAGAGGGAGCCCAGCCACCAGATTCCAGCAGGTGGCGCCCTTGCGCAGTCACTCCTTGCAGTAGAGCACAAGGCTGCCGGCCACCAGGCTTTCAGTGCGGGGACCGGAGAGTGCCCTCCTCCAGTGGCCAGCCCTCTCGTCACTCACTTTCTCTGACTCCTTCGATCCTCATTCCTCTCCAGAAAGATTCAAATGTGTTACTGTTTTAGTGGACGCCTGGCCCTCCCCATCAGGTGCAGAGATAGCATCTTCCCTTCCTGAGCTGGGAAGAGACACCACTCCTGAGATCTTTCAGTGATAAAGAGCTGGGAACTAAGAAGGTGAATGCTCAGACAGAGTGTGGTTTATGAATATAATGGAATAGTATTGTGCCAGAAAAAATAAATGAAGAAACCTGGGAAGAAAGACTTCTATGACCTGATACAGAGAGAAATGAGCAGAACCAGAACAGTTTATACACTCAGAAAAATAACTTTGAAAGACTTCAGAAATCTGATCAACGAACTAAGCCTGGGGACACAACTGCAGAAGGCCTGGGATGAAACGTGGTGCCTGCCTCTTGCTGACAGGTAATGACTTTTTTTTAGACAGGACAAGTGGGTAGATTTATTTTGCTTGACTAAGCATATTTGTTACAGGGATTGTGTTTTTCTTCTTTTCGTCGGGAAGGGGGCAGGGAAGAAAGCTAGCAATAGGATTTTTTTTAAAAAGGCATTGAGGAAAACAGAAGGAAGGTCAAAGGGAAACGGGAGCAGGTCTGATTTTAAAGTAACTTGTTGAGTTCATTATGTCATTAAAAAAAAGTTGAAAGTTTGTAATATTGATTTGTGGTCTCACTTGGAACCAATCTTTTTTGTTCTATTTTGAATGTTGAAACTTTCATTTTGGGGTATTCGGTAAGTTTAAAGTTTTGAAAATCTGCAGCCCGGGCCCTGACATAAAAAAGACCTCGGGTAGCCCCTTCACTATGGGGGGGTTATGGCACCACACACCTCAAGCATGTTTGTAGAGCCATGTCACCTCCAGATAGGTTTCAGGCAAGCTACTGCCCAAGGAAAGGGAGCAATCATACCTAGAGTCCCTCACCCTTAGGGATACAGATTGGTTTGCAAGCCTGGAAGCTTAGCTGAATGCTAGCTCTTGTTACAACAGTATAGCCATTGAAACATCATCTAATAAAGTTGAGCAACTTGAGGAAGAATTAGATAGAATTCAACAGGAATGGATGTAAAGGACTTTTGAGTCCAAAAAATTCACCTTGCTGAATCCAAGGTGGAGGAGGTGTGCCTGAATAGTAGTTTGCCTGAAAATGAGTTGAAAATTGTAGTAGAGAATGCAATATTGTTATGACTTAACAGTGTGGTGAGAAGGCCACCTCAGACTCTCTGATGTCCCGGGTGGGGGGGGAGGGGGGGAAGGGCACTCCCTGCATACCTGGCCCTGGGAGAGCCACAGCCTGACGCTGCAGCCCCTAAGGCAGTAGTGTGTCTGTGTGTCTGACACCTGACCACACAAGTCTGAACTTGTGCTACATTTTGCCGAGACTGGAGGCAGAGGTAATAGGGATTGGGGTGTCTAAAGGGGCAGGGGTTAGGGTGCAGATGAGCCAGGTACTGAACTTGTGGGCAGGAAGGATGGTGGCTTGGAGGTCACGGGCCTGACAACATTGAGGGAACGGAAGATGGTGAGGGGTGGTGGCCTTGGGGGAGGTGTAGCCAGCTTCAGGGCAGGGACAGGCATGTGGGTAGTTCTGGGCATTTCAGGCCATCAAGTCAGAGCTATTTTACAGGAACCTAAGGCTCAGAGAAAGGAAGAGACTTTGTCCCAGGCTATGTAAGAGGTCATTGGAAAGGACAAGGTTTCAGCAGGAAGCCAGCAGAAGAAAGTCCTCTGAGGGGTTGTGGGAAGGGAAAATAGGTGACAATGACTGAGGGAGCATTTCTTGAGGAGGGGATGGGCAGTCCTGGCATCCTCTGTGGTTTGGCCCCCAGCTCATATGGGGGTAGGCAGAACATCCTGGTGGGAGAGAAGCCTGGGGTGGGGGGAGGGAAGATTGGAGGGTGTCTGTTTGGGACAGAGGAATTATTCCCTAGAAATGTCAGTGTCTGGGGCCCAGAGGATGTAGGTAGGAAGGCCAGAGTTGAGTGACATGAAAGGGGACCAGGAAGTGGGAAGCAACCACAGGGAAAAGGGCTGGAATCCTGCTGGAGTCCTGAAGTCCATGCGTAACCATGCTGATCCCCCTGCTTGAGATCAGTCCCCAAGGTTAAAACAATGAAATGGAAACCGAGGCACAGAATTCCCCTCCTCCCCAATTGCCTCGTACTCATCATGTACATATTTCTATCTATGCATATTGTCTACCCCCAGTAGAGGGTGAGCTCTTGTGGAGCAGGCCTGTTTGGTGTCCTTTCATCTGCATTCCCAGGGCCTGGCAGAGAATACCCTTGTTAACAAACCAACAGACAAGGCTGGGGCTTGGCTCTGGGGGCCTCCAGGTCAGCATCAATGAAAGGAATAGAGCCTGGGAGGTGGAGGCAGGAACTTAGTCTGCCTGGCTGCAGAAATCAAACCAGGAGCCGCGTGGATGGGGGAGGGGGGCGGCCTTGCAGGGGCAGGCACCAGACAAGGGGAAGCTTTGCAGGCCTCAGTAAGCAGGAGCAAGGAGAAGAAGGGATGTTGGGCTTCCTGAGGGCCCTTCCAGCTCTACTTCCAAAGGCCCTGCCCCTGTGGGCTGGTCTTGCAGAGAAGACTGACTGGGCGATATGGGGAGAGGTGCACTGTGGTCAAAGCCCAGCCCAGCCCAGGAGGCATTAGGGAGCTCCTCAGTGGCTGTGTCTGATTGCAGGGAGAATGGGGAAGGCCCCCCTTTTGGTGTCTCCCTCCCCACCCCCATCCCCGCAATGAGTGATCCCTCATGGTGGGAGAGGGATTTTACACAAGGAAGGGAATTTGCCACTTCTTGCTGTGGTCCAGTACCAGGAGCTCAACAGGGGACTGACAGGGCCAGCCAGCTCTGTCCTTGGGAGGCAGCTTCTTCCTCCCCAATCCCTTTAGCATCCCAGAATCTTAGCACCAAAAAGCACCTCCAAGTCCTCCGACCGACCCATAGCCAAGAAAGCATCCCCAGGCCATGGCCCTTGTCTTGAAGGCCTCCAGAAAAGGGGAGCTCACTTTCCCAGACATATCAAAGCCGTATTGGTCTCTTTGCCCCTCCCCTTACTGCTCCTGAGGCTGCCTTCTAGGACCAAAAAGAATTAGCATCATCTTGCCTTCATGGGACAGCCCTTGGAGTCCTTGGAGACAGCTCTCAAGTGATGCTGAAAGGGACATGGACAGAAGAAACCCCCTGGGGCTTCTCCAGGCCAAAGAGCCCCAGTCCCTTCAACCAGCCTTCTTACATTGTCCCTTGTGCCTCAGTTTCCCTGTCCCGTTCTCAGTGATAGCAATTGACCTCAAAAGGTGGGGTGGCACTGGGAGTATAAAAATTCAGGTTTCCAAGCCCTCTTCTACTCCTTGGAACTACTTCCCCCAATGGCCCTTCCACCCCCCTCCCCTGTACCCCAAGGTCACACCAGTCGGGCTCTTTGTGAATCAGATGCTCTTTTATTATTGAATCATAGACGCCACTTTCTTTGGCTTTGAGTTCCCTCCCACACAAAGGCTCCTTTCCTTTCAGGCTCAGTCTCTGGCCAAGGAATGACTTTGTAGAGCAAGGGACAGGGACTCCCGGTGGATCTCCCTCGAAGGACTGCACTGTGAAGAGGTCACAAGAGGGGCTCGTGAGCCGGGCTAGCAGACTGAGGCCCATCCGCTCAGCAACCTTGAGGTAGGACAGGACCGGCTCCCTCCAGACTCTGAGAATGATTTTGGGAAGGAACGAAGGGGAGGGGAGCTAGGAGCCCCCCTGGAGCTCCATTGGAAGAAGGGTGGGGTCATTTACCCGTCTTGTGCGAGGCACAGACGCAACCACTTCAAACAGAGTGAATCCTCCCAGGAGGGGGCTAGGGGCCCATTTTCCCCCCTGGAGCTCCTTCCAGTGGCCTCCTCTGGCGCTCTGACCGACCTTCTCGGCCACAAAAGTAAAAGAGAAAAAAAGGGGGGGGGAGTCACAGTCTTGCAGATGTCAGGAAGTGTTAGGAATTGGGTGGGGCTAGTGAGAGAGCTAGAATGTGTTCATGTCCTTACGCACAGTACGGTGTGTATATTTGTGTGTACACCCCCAGGCTGGAATGAACCTCAGTGTGTGTGTGTGGTGGGGTGGGGTAGGGGGGAGAGTCTTGGCTGGGAGAGGGAAGTGTGGGAGCGGGAGCGTGCAGGAGCGCACCCGCGCCTCTCACCTGCGCTTACCCACTAGCTGCTGGATAAGCCGGTGCACCTGGGCGGTCCCTCTTATTTTACTGAGCTCGCTGGTAAAGGTGCCGTCCGAGTGTCTCTGAGTCCTGGGGAGGCGGGGAGGCAGGGAGGCAGGGGCTGAGGGCCGGACTGGGTAGGTAGCCGCAGTAGCACTCAGGCCCGGGTCCTCCCCCGTTCCCTCTTCCCTTTCCCTCAGCTCCCTTCACCCCTCCCTAAACGCCCCGGGGGTAGAGCTCACCTGGGCCCCAGGCCTACCAGCGCGCGGACCAGGCTCTGAACGAAAGCACTCTCTCTAAGGCGGCTCAGCTCGCTAGTGAAGGCACCCTCCATATGGCGCTGAGCCCTGCCAGGAACCCAAGGGATGTATTTTGGGAAGGGGGATGGCGACAGATGGAGGGAGGAGATACTGGATGGGGCGGTCACTCTCAGGGCCTTTAGACCCCCTCATTGGCGGAGGGGAAGATGCGCTCCGACCATCACCATCCACAGCCATTCCACCTGAGAGTCCAGGCTGTAGCCCGCCGAGTTGGCGGGAGGACTGAAGGAAGCGCGTTTGTAGTTAACTTTGTAACTATCTTGTAACTCTTGTAACTTTAACTTTGTAACTATCTGCATAGCTTAGTCCCTGTGTTCCCCTCCAGAGCGTTAATCTAGGCTCCCAGTCCCTGCCCTGCTTCCCCCACCCACCCAACCCAGTCCCAGGTGGTCCAGAGCCTGTCAGGCTCCTGTGTGAGAGTTAGAACAGTCAGCCTTGGCCCAGAACAAAACCCAGGAAGGGAAGGGAAAGGCGGTCCTTGTTCTGATCAGTGCAGCCCTCTCCGGGAGCCCCGAGCCCATTATCTGTTGACATGTGCCAATCCTGCGCCACCGGGATAGGGGAGCCGGGGTGGGGGATCACCTCTGGGGAGCCAGGAGCGAAGAGGAGCCTTGGATCAAGAAGACAGCGAGGATCGCAAGGGCCCCGATTCCTCTGGCCATGGGAACTGAGGGCTGAAGAGCAGGAGATATGGAATACTAGAAATATCCAAGCAGCCGAGCTCCCGGATACACAGAGGCAGAAGACTGAGGAGAGAATCAGGAATTAAGGGGATTGAGCTGGGTGGGCAGCGAAGCTCTGGGAGCTGAGATACAAGTCAGGGAGACAGACTGAGGGGCGGAAACGGACACCGCGAAGGAGCCTGAGACCTAAAGACATATAAAGACCGAGAAAGAATTCACAGAGACTGAGACTAGCAGACAGACGAGACAGAGACAGTGAGATAAGTAGACAGAGACAGACGAGAGGAAAGAGTGACCGGAGGGCAATGGCAGTGAGACCGAAAAGACCGACTATCGGAGAGGTACAGAGACAGGAGAGTGACGGGAAAAGAAAGACCGAGATTGAGACCGAGATTGAGACCGAGACATGCCGTCCTCAGAGGGGCGGGGAGACCCAGGGAGAGACAGAGACCCGGAGACACCGGGAGAGACAGAGGCCAGGAGACACGGGGAGAGACAGAGGCCCGAGACCCAGGGGCAGAACCGGAGAATGCTTGGCGGCTCTCCCGGCGCCGCTCAGCTCCTGCCGGCCAAAATTCGCCGGCTTCTCACCGAGCCTAGGAGAGATGCTCGCTGAATTTCAGCTCCAAGCGGAGTCCTCCGTCCTCTCCTCTTCCTCTGCCTTCTTTGAGGCAGCCGCCCGACTCCAGTGCTTGGCTCCGGGGCCTGCTCGGTATAAATCCCCTTGGGCCGGGGACCTGGAGGGCGGAGGCGGAGGCTTGGGGCGCCAGGGTTCCTCTACTCCCCGCCCCCCACGCCCGCCCGGTGCCCTTTCTGAGGCTCCACAGTTTCCGCTCCGGCGACTTCGCAAACAGTTGGTCCGGGGCCATCGATCGGCCGGGAAGGTCAAGGCCGCCCCTCCAGCTGTCATCCCTGCCCGTCCGGGCCCCTGGCTGCCCTAGCTGAGGCCTGCTGCTGTGGATCTATGGCCCCACCCAGTCCCATCTCGTCCCTTCCTGGCCCCAAAGGCCAAATTGAGTCTTTGGAGGGATTGGGACAGGCAAGGCTGAGCATCAGCGCCTGGGGATGCTTACGGAAGCCTCCAAGTGTGGGCTGAGTGGCCGCCTCAGTCTACGTCTTCCCATGAGGAGTTTGTACATTCATTCAAACGGGACTGGAGAGTCGCACGAAGTCAGATGCCAAGTGCAGCGTGATGGAGCCAAGGGAGAGCTACCCAAGCCTTCCTGGCAGAGCAGGGAAGGAAGAGAGCTCAGCTCCGAGGAGGCTTCGAGGAGAGGATGGCAGAAAGGCAGGGCAGGGCAAGATGGGAACGGGCCCACTAGGGGTCATGTTGAGCCGTGACAATCTGTGTGAAGGGGAGCCACGGGAAATAAGCCTGTAGGAAGGAGATGACCCGCAGTGCCGGCCTGGCCATTTTGCTTGTTATTCTCGAGGCAATGATGAACACCAAAACACTTGATGAGTAGAGCCGGTAGCGAGGGGTATGCCTTAGAAAGACGATCTAAGCGTCTTCATGGAGGAAGGACCAAGAGGCTAGGGCTGCCAGTTAGGAGACACAGCCAGCCTGGGAGCCTGGGGGGAAGCTGGGGAAAGGTCCCAGGAATCCTGCCTGGCCTGGGCAGACATTGATGAAGAGTCTAGTGTGTGGGTACCACCTTTGGAGGCCAGGTGCTTGCCCTGAGAGAGCTTCCAGTCAAGGGGTCACAAAGAGGTTAAGGGCCCTTGGCCTGGTGCTTCTTCCTAGGGGAGGTCCAGGAGAATCCCAGAAGACTTCCTGGAGGCAGAACCTTGGAATCCTGTTGGCTCGGAATGGTGGGCGGGAGGAAGGACATAGGAAGCAGGTGGAGGGACCAATCTTAATGGCTGGAGTGGAAGCTAGAGAGGATTCGGGGAAGGGAGGACAGATCCAGCCTGGGGTGGAGGGTGGCAGTGAGGAGGAGGTGGTGGCAGTGCTTGGGCTTTCTTTGAGGGGGCTCCTCGAGGGCCTTGGCCCTTCGAGCCCTTCCCTCACCCCTCACACCTGTGCCTAGAGCAGGACGGGGGTCTCCGCTCTTTGCATGCACTTCGCATATATCTGCATAGAGTCACAAACGCCAGACACCAGGTTAGCCCGACAAAACGGAGAAACCTGAGGCAGGGGTATAGGAGCCTCCCTTGAGCCTCCTGGAGCCTAAGATTGGTCTTGGAAATAGGGAGCCAGTATTCCTAGGTCCTGGACAGCTAGGTGGTGCAATGGAGCCCCGGGCCTGGAGTCAGGAAGACTCACCATCTTCCTGAGTTCAAATCTGGCCTTAGACACTAGCTGTGTGACCCTGGGCAAGTCACTTCACCTTATTTGCCTCAGTTTCCTCATACATAAAATGAGCTGGAGAAGGAAATGACAAACCACTCTAGTATCGTTGCCAAGAAGACCCCAAATTGGGGTCAGAAGAGTCGGACAGAAGTGAAACGACCGAACAAGCAACATTCGTAGGTCCTCCGACCGCCAGCACCCTAGGCTCGCGGTGCCCACTTGTGCAATGCATTTAATGACCAATGAGGCCTTCCCGAGGTATTGCCCTCTGCCTCCAGACTAAGGTCTTTCCCGCATTCCCAGAGTGTCACGCCCTTCCCGATCCTTGACTCCGCTGCATTAGGAGGCGAAGGACCCCAGTGTCTCAGTGCTGCTGGACCCCGGCCTTCATTTCTGCCATCTCGGCAAAGTGGCTGGCGGGACTCAGGAAGGGAGGGGGCGCGGTTGTGTGCGTGCGTGCGTGTGTGCGTGTGTGTATATTTGTGTTGGGGGGGCTTTCCTCAGAGCCCAGAGAAGGCTGGGTCGAGAAGGGGCGAGGCCGGGGAGGAGCTAGGGAACTTACCGCGCGTGGAGCAGTGGAGCCGAGCTCATCAGCCGAACACCGGAGATAGGGTCCAAGGGGGAATTCACTCACTCTGGGAGCAGAGGTTGGGGACACCCTGCCCCTGGTCCCGAGCCCCAAGGCCCCCCTCTTCCTTCTTCTGACAGATCCGGTAGAGTTCAGTCTCCCGGAATGTGGCTCCCCGCCCCATCCCAGGCTGCAGGTGTGAGGCGCTGTCCGCGGTGCTAAAGCGGTCCTGTCCTAGGCCATGCTGGAGAACCGCAGCTTCCTGAACGCCAGCGAGCTCCCAGGCAGCGGCAGAGGGAGCCTAGGGGCGCCTGAGCCGCATGTGGGAGCTCTGGTTGGGGGCATCCTGCTCATGACCACTGTGCTGGCTGGCAATGCGCTTGTGTGTGTGAGCGTGGCGGCGGAGCGTGCCCTGCAGACCCCGACCAACTTCTTCATCGTGAGCCTGGCCGCCGCTGACCTACTGCTGGCGCTGCTCGTGCTCCCCCTTTTCGTGTACTCCGAGGTGAGGTGAGCCCGGCCCCAGGACGCCCCCCTGCCTCGGTCTGTCCTTTGAACCTGATTCCTAGACCCAAGACACTCCCACCCCTTTTCCAGTTCCTCTCTCCTCTGTTGTACCTCCACCACCCCCTACCCCCGCTTCCGACTCAGGACCTTCCCCCCTCCCTTGGCTAAAGGTCATCACTTGTCACTCCCACCCCCACTGTCAGTTCTTTCAGCCCCATTCATTGTCCGTTGCTTGAACCTTCCACTCCAGGACTCAGGATCCTGTCCGTCACCTCCCCCCATTCTGGAATCCCGCTATAAACCCCTAGCCTAGTATACTTCTTGTCTCAAGGTCCCTGCCTCTCATTCCTTAGATCCCATACTGCGCTACCTCTTTCGTGTCTGTCCTATCCTTCTTCTAACCCTCCTTCACTATCTCTTTCCACACACATTTCATCTCTTGAAATCTCGAACCTGACACTGTCCTGCCCTCTGGCCACTGTTCTCATCCCTTCCATGGTCCACTAGACTCGTATGCCAGACCTGATTTCCTGAAATTGAGGAGGGGAAGGAATATGACAAAACAGCAATAGAGATCCAAGAAGGCAACAGAGAGAAAGAGAAGAGACAGATATACAAAGACAGAGATGTCAGGAGAAACAGAGGAGGGATGAGTGATTGAGGGAAGAGAAAGAGACAGGGAGAGACATGTCAGGAGAGGGAGGAAAGAAAGTACGGCAGGGAGAGGGTGAGAGAAGGGGAAGAGAGAGAGACAGAGAAAGAGATGTAGAGAGAAACAGAAAAGGGATGAGGGCTGGAGGGGGAGGAAAGGTGGAGAGAAGAGTGAGGGAGAGAAGGTAATGGGGGAGAGAGAGAGAGAGAGAGAGGAGAGCGGGGGAGAGAGAGAGAGGAGAGAGAGAGAGAGAGAGAGAGAGAGAGAGAGAGAGAGAGAGAGAGAGAGAGACAGAGAGAGAGAGAGACAGAGAGAGAGAGACAGAGAGAGAGAGAGAGATTTGCTTAGAGACTTCAAGGATTCCCTGAATGCTAATCTGCTTTGTCAGTTCAAGTCTGAACAACCACAGGACTTCTTAACTGTCTTGCTCTGCCCAAAGAGCAATGTTGGGTGTGTCTCAGAAGATATTTAGTGGGAGTGGTTTTCTCCTTACCCTAGTTGTTCCTGTGAAATGAATTGAACCCAAAGGTCCAAGAATTTCTTGCTCGGCCTTTCTTCCTATTCACCTTCACTGTTTCTAGCCCATGAAGATGTTTCTGGATCCTGTTTGACTAGCCTACATTATCCAACGAGTCAGTTCACCATCCTAACACTCAGCCATCTGCACATTGGATAAGCAAGCCATCCATGTTTTCACCCTAGTAAAGAATAAGAACATGGAACAGCACAGGCTCCTAAACAGATCCCTAGGGCACTCCACTGAAAGCCTCCTTCTGAGGTGACTAGAGCCCATGAATGAGTATCTCTGAGTGTGGCCATTCAGAGCTGCCATCTGGCCCACATCTCTTCATCTTGTCTCCAGTTCTTCTCCTTAATTCAACCTCTGTGCCTTTTACTAAAAATCTGCTCCATGAAGTGTGCAGGGATAATCCAGCCCGCTTTGATCCTCAGCTCCTATACTCAAAGGCACCAGAGAATGGGCGAATCAGTCAGAGGATTTCTCCAGCCCCCCACTCCTTGCATCCCTAGCATTGCTTCCCTTGTTTCTCCCCCAAGGAGTGAGCAAAACAAGGTGCCTGGTGTAACTTTATATCTAAAGACAGGCTCTCTCTATGAATCCCAAAACAACTTAGAATACTCATTGGTCTGGAGGCAGGGGATAAACTGGATCACCTCCAGAACGCCTGAGCATGGCCAGGGATGAAGACAAGGCCTGGGACAGGGGATCAGGTCAGCAGTCCTGGACTGGGCAGAAAGGAAGGATATTCTAGTTTCCAGAAACATGGTGCAATGTAATGAAGGCTGGGGTAAGGATGCCAAGAGAGGACATGAATGCTGTGACTTTGGTCCTCATCTCCTGCTCTGAGAAAGGGAAGGCTGAGGCTCCAGAAGACAGCAGTGGGAAAAGAACCTAGGGAGAGACAAAAACAGGTGTAGAATAGGTGACCAGAGCTGAGGAATGAGGGATACTGTAGGCACAGCTGCTTCCAATTACCTCTTCTTTCAAGTTTGCGGTGGGTGGCTACCTACTCCCCAGAGGAGGGGATATGGAGGGGGGGTGAGAAGAGGATGAAAGGGGCTGAACAGGCCCTTGGGACAAAAGACTTGATAGGCCTTCCATCCATAAGGAAGGTTGAGGCCTCCCAGCTCAGGTAGGCTGTGGGTTCAGTCTCTGCCTCCTCCCACTCACGGTTTCTCAATCTATTGTCCACTGGGGTCGTCAGGTTTATGTCATGGGTCCTGTGAGCCTAAGGCAGTCCCTGTCCACTTCCTGCTCTCCCAACATCCTCATGTCCATGGAGAGGGGTGGGGCTGGATGGTTCTTTTCTGCCCTCTAGTTGTGGATATATTGCCTCATCCCAAACATTGAAACAGCTGTTAGTATAGATGCTGCTGCTTCTGAAGAAAGTGTATGAGGCAGTGAGGTCCTAGGAGACCACATTTTTTCAAGTTACTCTAGAATCTTCATGTGAATGTGTCCACACAGGTGCTGTGAAGGACAGTGAAGGGTGGGGGATAAGGACAGGCTAATCCAGGGAGGGAGGGGTCACTCTGAACTCTGACATCTCTGTGCTGTCCACTAAGCCTCTAATCTCCAGTAGAGAGGATAGAGAAGGAGGAGCCAGTATTTCACTTTGGGGAGTATCAGGTAGGACCTTGTTGAGGTCCCCAGGATTTACAGTGAAGAGAAGACTTTCCAGGCACCCGGGTTCTTTGTCAGAAATTTCTAGAGCTAGAAATAATGGAGGATCTGAGGCTGAGAGTTGTAAGGGACCTTACATAGAGATCATTTGGACATCAAAGGACTCCAGGGAGTCAAAGAGAGATGGGATGAAGGAGGTCCATCCTAGAGCATCTGGGATAATTGAGGCCACCAGTTGGCATAGTGGCCTGGTCAGGATCAGAAGCCAAGTCTTTTGATTCAAAATCTAAGGCTCATCCTACTACATAAAACCATTGAGTGGCCTCTCAGATGACAGTGGGCTCTAGATGCCAATGCATAAGGGAAGGGAGAGGTCTCACCAGCCCTTTCCCACATTCCCACACATCCACTCCCCAGGAAGCATCCCTCCCTGAGAAACAGTGAACAGGGGAGATGGCCAAGATCACAGCAAGAACTCAGAGGCAGGAGGAGGGGGAGGGGCGGGGGAAGGGATTTCCAGGTCAGACCAAGCTTTTCTTCTCCTGAGCAAGCTGGAGTAGGCACAGTTATTTTGGCCAAATCTACACCCCAGTCTGGGTCCATGTTGCACGCAGCTCTGAGCTGGCCTGTGCTCTTGTGATGGAGAGGCCTAAGTGGCATAGGGGTATAGCCTCACAGCTTCTATCTCTGTCCCAGTTCTAGGGTGAGTGTGTTCCGGGGGGGGGGTCAGGGGCTGAGACAGGGACCTCAGACCTCTGTCCGTCTGTCCCAGTTCCAGGGTGGGTGTGTCCCCTGCTGGGGGGGGTTGGGGGGGAGGGGGTGTGTCAGGGGCTGAGACTGGGACCTCAGACCTCTGTCCTTCTGTCCCAATACCAGGGTGGGTGTGTTCCAGGGTGGGGGGTGGGCTGTCAGGCTGAGACAGGGATCTTTCTATCTGTCCCAGTACCAAGGTGGCGTATGGGCTCTAAGCACTGTTCTGTGTGATGCTCTGATGGCTATGGATGTGATGCTTTGCACAGCCTCCATCTTCAACCTCTGTGCCATCAGCGTGGACAGGTGGGCCCTTTTCCAGCCTCTCCCCCCACCCAGGTAGGCCCTGAACCCCTCCCCAGCCCAGGCCTCCAGTCCAGCCCTGCATCTTTCTGTCCTGACACTGAGCAGATACTTAGGAAATGCTTGTAGAATGAATCCTAATGCCCGTTTTCCCTAACTCTCACTTTGGGGGACCTACTTCCCTCAAAACCAGGCCAGTGTTCTGGGCCCAAGTTGTTGGCTCCACCAAGCTGAGGGCAGCTTTCCGGCCCCCCCCCCGCCCCCAGCCCGCAGCTCGCGGCCCCTTGCTCGAGGGGTGGGGTCTCTTTCGGCCTCCTTCCAGCTCCTTGGCCTCTCTCCAGGTTCATCGCAGTCTCGGTCCCTCTGAACTATAGTCGGCAGCAGCTGGGGAGGCAGCAGCTGGTGCTCATTGGCACAGTGTGGGGGCTGGCCTTCGCCGTGGCCTCGCCAGTGCTGTTCGGCCTCAATGATGTGCCCGGTCGGAACCCAGCCGTGTGCCAGCTGGAGAGCCGGAATTACGTTGTGTACTCCTCCGTCTGCTCCTTCTTCCTGCCCTGCCCGCTAATGCTCATCCTCTACTGCGCTATGTTCCGACGACTTCGAACCTGGGAAGAGGCGAGGAGAGCCAAACTCCGTCGGAGCATGTGCCCCGGGGCTGCCCGCAGACCCAGCCGGCCACCACAGCCCTGGCCTCGCCGGCGGTTTCCCGGGCCTGAGCCAGAGGGCCCTGGGCCTGCGGGCTACTCATCCCGTGGCCCAATCCAGACTATGTCCTACCCGCCGCAGCCCCAGCCCCAGCCGCTACCACAGGCGCTACCTTCTGCCGGGCTCCCGAGGAAACGAGCCAAGATTACTGGCCGGGAGCGGAAGGCCATGAGGGTGCTACCTGTGGTAGTCGGTGCGTGTCTGCGGCTTCCTCCCACAGGGCGGGCGGGGAGCTCTGAGAGGACGGTGGGGAGGGGGCCGGGGCTGCTCCGCCTGAGCTGGGAGGGAGGTGTGCGTCCCAGAGCTCGGGGCTGGTTGGCTCACTGAACACTCCTGCCTCCAGGTGCTTTTCTCGTGTGCTGGACGCCCTTCTTCGTGGTCCACGTCACTCGGGCGCTGTGCCCAGCCTGCCCCATGCCCCGGAAGCTGGTCAGCATCGTCACCTGGCTGGGCTACGTGAACAGCGCCCTAAACCCCGTTATCTACACTATCTTCAATACAGAGTTCAGGAGCTTCTTCCGCCGAGTGCTAGGCCTCCTTTGCTAGAACACTTGGGTGAGGGCAAAGGCAGCCTCCAGGCCCCCCTTTCCAGACTCATGGGATCACTGCTGCCCTAGTGCCTGAACAGTCAGCCTGGGGCTGGCGCTGGTGCTGGTGGCTGCTTCAGAGGCAGACTGGCTGGGGGGGAGGTGGCGTTTTAGGAGAGGGGCATGGCTGGTTGAAAGATGGGGGTCTGGGGACCTGATGCAGGCAGAAAGATCAACTGAGGCTCCTGTAGGCCTGAGCTCTCACGGGGAGGTGGCCGATTCCCTGGATGACTCTGTGCAATGGCCTCCTCCCTAGTCCAGCACAGTGGGAGCTGTCCAGGTGTTCTGAGCATGTCCACTTTCCTGGGGGCAGACACCACGTGAAGGGGGAGGGGAGGGGAGGGCTTCCTCCTGAGCCCCTGGGTGCTGACAGGGCTTGAGGTAGGTTTAGAGATATTTATATTCTGGCTGACGCAGCTGTCCCAGTTTGACCACTGCCCACCCAACTTTCACAAATTCCTCCGTCTCCAGGGCTGTGCTTCAGTGTCCAACAAATCAGAGGCTTCTTGATGGCCCAAAGGGGAACCGGACCTGGAGGGCTGGACCCTCCACCCCTGACCCTTAGGGGAATCCTGGGAAAGATTCGAGAGGGAAGGGGTGGGGGACTGTTTCTACATGAAGTGTTGATAGGGGAAATGTAAGCCCAGTGAAATGGCCTCCCTACCTACACATCCAGGAGTCTCCTGGGAATTGGAGTCCCTCTCTGGCCTCCCGGAAAGGTCCTGTACGTCCAGCCTGTCCCTTCTGCTTGCCTTCAGCGCTCCCAGGTGTCCCCATATGCTCACTTAGACCAAGCCTGACTTGTCTGAGGCAGCCTTCCCATCTGGCCTTGGCTCTCTGCCTGCCTGCTGATCTGCTGGCTTTGGGGGCCCGTTCAGGTCGCTGGGAACATGTCAGCCCACCACACCTTCTGGACAAGACTGTGATCCATATAATATGAGGTCTTCTCAGCTTAAAGGGGTTCACTCTTACTGCTGTTAAAGAAGAGACCCTCAACTCCTCAGGGTCAGATCACAGCTGGGGACTGAAGGTCACATAGGAATTAAGTGACCCAGAGAGGACTGGAATCCAGAAGCCAGGGGTCTTCCCATCCCTGTAATGACGAACTAGACCTGGAGCTCTCTGAGGGCATCTTTCTGCTCCGACCTTAGCCAATTCCACAAGCAGCTGGCATGAAGCTGAGGAGGTTTGCAGGGCATGAAAGGCTGCTGCCTGCCCTTGAGCCCAGAAGCTCCTCTTTTCTCTTGTATTTTACTGCCTGTGAGGGAGGCAGTAAGGGTATTAGCTCCCACTATACAGATAAGGAAACTGAGGCTCAGACAGCAGAGCTGAGTCTAGCACAGCCTGGGGAGTCAGTCCTCATTTCTTCCATCAGGGTACAGTCCTGCTAGGTTTTCCACTCCAAACCAGGGGCAGCCTAATGCTGTTGCACACTGCTAAGCTTCTTCCTCCCTAGTGACTGGGAGTGACTCAATATCCTACAACTACAGTAATGAATTCAAGGTGTGGAGTTCTCTGCTGAGTTTTGCAAAGTTATGCATTGTGAAGTGAAGCATTGACGCCCAGTGGCAAGCACTTGAGAGAGTGTGAAAATATTCTGCTGGAGAGGGAGGGGCTCTCACTGTCAGGATCAGCCTCCACTCAGATCCCAGTTCAGAGAGGCCAGATGTGCCCCTGCTCTGGCAGACAATCATGGCAGTAACATCCTGCTTGAACCTTCTTGGAGAGAGGGCTGTCCAACTGGACTGCCCTGCCTTGCCCTGCAAGAGGACCTTTGAAAGATTGGGACTAGCAGCAGCAGCAGCAGCAGCAGCAGCAGGAGGAGGAGCAGCGGCAGAGCAGGAGCCCTGGGTTCCTGACCATTGACTTAGCAGGCAGGCAGCACACTCTACTGTAGAAAAACGCCTGGTTCACAGGTGGCTAGTCTGCAGCAAGTCCTATTTCACATCCCAAACATAGTCAACAATCTAAGGACCAGAGGGTGGACACATGCACAACACTGGAGTTGAGGTTCCCAAGTGAGAAGCCAGTTCACCACCTTCTGCAGGGTCTAAACATTCCTTTTGGAAAGCTGTTGGATCTAAACAGCACTGGGCTGTGTGATCCACAGGGATGGAGCCTGGTCATTCTTACCTGCAGCAAGAATAACTACATTCAAATTAAAGGAAGAGACTTTCCAGGGGCTGGAAAGAGAGTGTCTCCCTTTGCCCCACCCAAGCAGACAATGCCCACTTACCAGCCCATCCGCACTTGCCCTATTCCTTTGTAGACCCACTAGTGACAGAGATGTGCCTGTGCTGGCAGGGATGAAAAGATCTGAAGCCGCTTAGGGGAAGGGGGTGAGGGTGTGTGCACAGTGTCCAGTCAGTCAAGGCGTGACAGAATTAGGTCTCCAGGTGTACACGCTGGGCCCAGCAGCAGGGTAGGGCCAATGGGCCATTGGTCCAGTCAGCTTTTTCAGCACCTCTTTGGATGTGGTAGCAGCTTCCTCCCAGGATAGCCACAGCCTCATTCAGGTCTCCCCATTTTAGCTTTCCTCAAGACTCCGGATGTTGCCAGGATCCCAGGGCAGCACCTCAGCCACTGGGGTGGGCAAGTGGCAAGACTGTCTGCCAAGGGTAGGTCACTGCAAACAGCTGGGAGCCAGGCTTGAGGCTTCATCAGAAGTTAACAGTAGCTCTGCTGCTCCCTGGCCTACCTGCTCTAGCCCAGGAAGAGGCAGAACCTTTGCCCCTCCCATGAAGGGTCAGGGGCAGAGTCTGGGCAATTCTCAATAGGTCAAGTGCAGCTAGTAACAAGGGGAGGGCACCTTTTGTCCAGGATGAATTCCCCAAGACAGGCTTGAGAAAAGCCAGTATAAGTTTAAACAATTTTTCTCTTCAAAACTTATGAAATGTAATTTTCATGAGTGGTTTTTTAAATAAAGTAGGGACAATGGACACTTTGTTCAGGATTTCCTCTCTCATTTCCAGAAAGAGCTTTCCCTCCTGATCTCGGGGGTGCTGCTCCCCTGTGGAAGCCAGTTGTCCCAAGGAACCAGAATCTGCTGTATCTCCTCCCCCCTCCTCAGTTCCTTCTGGGAGCCCTGCCTCCCCTCCCCCCCCCCCCCCGGCCTGTGAACTTGACTGAGCCTGGAGGGGGGCCATTTTCTCAAAGGCAGACCAGAGGACATTTCCAGCCTGGTTAGCAACGCATGAGCTGTTGAAAGCCTCATTTCAGAATCACTTACAGTTTGCAAATTTGTGCGAACACCCGCCGCTGCTTTTGAGCCTCCTCCAGGGACCCAGGGGAACATTCTCTCTGAGTGACAGGCTGGTGATAACACTTTCTTTACCCACCCCTTCTTCACCATGGAGGGCTGAGATCCTAGGGGAAATCATAGCTCCCTAATTGGTCTGCCTGCTTCTGGGGAGGTCAAGGTCCATCCATGAGGGAACCCAGAGCCCAGAACCCGGAAAAGAGGTGAGGTTTCCAGAACCCTCTGAACAGAGGAGTGCATGCTCAGCTCAGAATTAGGATTAGGGCTGTTGTCTCACATCCAAAGAGGGCTTCTAGAGTATGTACTATGAAGGAGGAACCTTTCACAGCCAGGTACTTGTGGGATGGGGATTGGGGCCAATCTTACAATGGATCTATGAACTCACAGAGGTAGAAACTCCATCTAACGGTCCAGATAGACCTCCATCACCTGGGGATGTGGTCCATCCAATCCTGGGGCCTTCCTCTAGGTTCCAACACTCCCAGGCTCCCTCCCTCCCACACCCATGTTCCCCACTTCCTGTGGCTTTCCACTCTCGACCCAGGGTCAGCCCATCTCCGTCTCTGAGCACGCTTCTTTGACTCCACCTTTTACACGCCTTCTGCATAACTGGTCACTGACACTGTACTGCAGCCTCCTGGTGCCCAGGGAGCACCATGCCTTACCTCAACTTTAATTCAATCACTCGATGACCCTAGAGATAGGCTCACATGCTCCAAGAGGGAGACAGCCTCCTGCCTGGACAGTCTTGTGACTCTCATCCAAGTGCTCCCATGAGTGGCCCTTGAGCACCCGCTGCCCAGTGAGCTGGAGCCCTTCCTTTGTTTGACCACCCCAAGGCTATCAGTGGAGCCTGCCATTCTTCATCCTTACCATGTGACTAGCTCATCTCCTTCCCAAGTCCGTTTCTAGGACACCATCTTTATTCCTGCTCTTCTTCACCAGTTACATGTTGATGCCTACTCTCATCCATTATGGGCCTCTCCCTTGCCACAGGTGATAACAATTTTCAATCTTTTCAGAGATCTTCTTGTTCCATATCTTATCAATGTGCCACACTGGTTAAAAGAAAAAAAAAAGATGGCTCTGTTTTTGGGAGAAGTTCAGGGACATGACAGGATCTTGGCAATTTCCTGAAGGCCATCCCAGTCCTCTCCTCCTGCCCATTTGTCCTCTTTCTCTCAGACATGCATACTAATGGAAAGCTCTGAGGCGTCCATCCCAAATGCATTCTCCTAATGTGGGCACCGTGTATTTTTCCTCCATTTGGTCTTTGTTGTGTGAGTGAACAGCAACAACTTTTTTTGAGTGGTTACAGATGCTAAGAGACTCTTGATACAACCAGTTCAAGGTCAACTGTGTCAAGACACACCTAGACCTAGTCGGGGCATTTCTATAGCACTTTAAGGTTGGCAAAGTACTTTCTACGTTAATCCATCTGGCCCTTACAACAACCCTGAGAAGCTGATGCTCCATGATCCCAGAGACACATTACTAGTGTCTAAGGCTGGATTCAAACATAGGTCTTCCAGATGTTCCATCCACATGGAATTCCTCTTTAACATGGATTTCTCCAACACAGTGGCAAACATCTTTGGAAAGCATTTATCTCCTTGTCTGATGTTTGTGGTGAGAGGGTCTTTGAACAAAGTTATCTCTGTTGTCCTAGCTTTCAAGAAATCTTACAGGCTTCTGAAACT